GAGTTGACCATTTTTCAAAGGATTTCCATCACGACAATGATGATTACAAGCCCATTTTCCATTTTCCATCTTCACAGGCTCTAGCTCAACGATGTCTTCTTTGGCCTTCTTACTCTCTTTAGAATTGCCTAGATCAGCTGTATCAATATCGACAAAAGCATCCGAGCCATAATCACTTGAAGCCCGACGTCCACCTTCGATTTGCTTAGCTACCGCGAGTATAGCATCGTCATCAATACCATCATCGAATTCATCAGAAGTTCCCATATCTTCAGGCTTAGACTTCTTTATGCTCGGTCGCTCAACCATCACTTTCGGAGGAGGAAACTCGGATGCAGGAACATGGTGCTGTAGAACGCAAGATTTCAGAGTACCAACAATCTCATCGCATGCAAGCCAACATTTGATCTCATCACCCGGCGATGAAAGTTCAACAGTAAACTCTTGTTTAGAACCACCATTCGACGATTTTTTGATGTTCATACGCCAGAAATATACCAGAGTGCCACTTGATGTTTCGGCTATGAAGGTGATTGAAGGTATCCTACCCGACCAGTTCGGTACCTTTGCATTCGCATAACCAAGCAAAGCATTAACTTTAACTTTTGGCAGCTCCCCTGCCTTTGAAAAGGCTCTTCCAACAATTTGAGCCGTGAGAGTCAATTGAGGAAATCCAATCAAATTGTCCTTCATCTTCTTCCCAAATGGAGGATTCTTGCCCATAACTCTCTCAATTCCTGCCGTATCGAGCCCAGCAAGCTTCTCAACAGTATTGACATTATTCCCAGCCAATTTCCGTAGAGATGCTGGTCCTATTTGGGGAACTTGTCTCAACTGTAAAGATGAGTTCTCCCAGTAACCCGCTGCAACACTCCTAGAAAGATCAAGAGCACAACGTACTGAGACTGAATCACAATCCACAGCTTTGCAATCAACAACACATCGAATCAAGCGTTGAAATCGTTCCAGTATAATATTAGTCTCCATTGCGAACTGTCGGCTAATGACTCGAAAGTCGTTATTCGTTAATGGTTCAATACCACCTAGTTGTACTTGAATCATGAGAAAGATTTTATGACCTGTTGTTGATATGTTCTCCTTGATTGGAAACTTCATCATTGAAGATTTGTTGAATTCTCGAAGACTTGATCGTTCATTGGGCTTCATTCGAAGGTCTTTGAATTCTGCTGCCTGACACACGGTATTCAAGATTACTTCCGTCTTCGAATGACGAGGAATACTCAATAATAATTTCATCGTCTCAAACTGAACCATGTATCGGCTCATAGCAGCACCATAATCTGTGCATGAGAAATTTTCTTCCTTTGTGACGAGCTCATATTCTTGAAGGAGTTTGATATCTCTCTCGCATACCAATTCGAGTTGTTCGTCCGCATCTCTACAAGGAACAATCCCAGAAAACGTGTAATATTTAGGATTCTGTCTCATCCTAACACTCAAAAAAGTCCCTCCTAACCAAACTTTGGCTTCATAAGCAGTCTTGATGGTGCGAAGTCCGATTTCTGAATTGAGATGTTCAATAAGATTCAAGTGCAGCGTACTCTCCAAGATATCCTGACCTGAAATCATCTTTTTGTATCGATCTGCCTTCTCCATTCGAGTCATAATAATTGCAATAGCACTATCATCAAATTGAGGTCTTCCAGCACGACCTAACATTTGCATAACCTCGAGGTCGGAATATTCGACTAGTCCATTATCTTGAAAGCAAACTGTCCCCTTCAGAACCACAAGATGACAAGGTAAATTAACTCCAACAGCTAATGTCGAGGTGCAACATATCACACTAATATCTCCTTTCAGATATGCCGTCTCAATAGCACATCTATCTTGCGCATCAAGACCTGCGTGATGATAAGCAACACCACATCCAACCAACTCTTGTAGATCTTTACTTCCTACCACAGTTCGAATAGTTGGAGCTGGCCAAGCACGGTCAACAACTCTTTGTCGAGTCCAATGTTCTGATAGAATAGCTGCTGTAACTTCACATGATTTTCTTGTGAAACAAAAAACCATAATTGGCTTCTTGCAGGAGTACTTTTGAATCAGAGCCGGTAATTTGCCATCGAGGATTTTCTCAAAAGCAAAATTGTTTGCACGACTCTCATATCCATGAACATGTTTCTGTAGCTTGACAGGTCGAAATTCTTCGCCGAATGTTTCTCGATGAGCAGGTAATTGCCGACTACTTGAGTCCCTTCCAAGCCAAGTGGCAATATCATGTCTGGAGTATAAATATATTAGCGTCCGAAAAATGCTGCACCGATAGTTATTGACTTACGCATTGGGAACAGTAGCACTCAAAGCAACAAACCGAACACTAGCTCCAATAGAATGCATCCGAGAAACTACAGCCTCAAGAGTAGCTCCTCTAGCATCCTTGAGGATATGAACCTCATCAATCAAGAAAAGTTTCACCAACTGCAGAAGCTTTTGATAATCTGTCCATTTTCGTGTAATACTATCCCATTTCTCAGGTGTGGTAATGATGATCGATGCATTCCCTACTCGACTCATTTCGGCATTGCTAGTATCACCAGTAAGTTCCGCAACAGGTAGATTCAAATGACTGAATTTCTTGGTCCAATCCCTCATACGTTCCGAACAGAGAGATTTAATCGGTGCTTGATATACGATCTTGAACTGTCCAGAACCATAGCTTTCAACTAGCTTACAAATAGCAAGTTCCAGAAGAGCCGTCTTTCCACTTCCAGTAGGAGCAGACACGACAATATTGTTGTTGGTCCTATAGATTGGTGCAAAACATTTGGATTGTACAGCATTGAAGAGTTCGTACGGGAAGACTTGACGAAATCGATCCGGAAGTTCATGGGGAGACACAAGCTGAATTCCGTGTGCCATTGGTGGTCTATTTCCAAAGGGAATAATCTGATGGCCGTTTTTAAATTGTCCAGCATTACCAGGGTATGTCTGAGCGGGAGAGAAACCCGAATGCTCTACACTACAGCCAATCTCCTGCCCTTGAGAGACTCTCGATGTCAGAGCATATCTGTCACTAGCTGAGACCTGATTCTGAGGTGTATGTGGAGTTGTATACTGGTATTCAAGCTCCTGCCCTCTTTCTTTTGTATTTTGCGGAGGTAAACGACGATTCGAACTTCGACGTGAACTGACTCTAGCACTAGGGCTCGACACCGAAAGTTCTGAAGGAGAAGAATGTATGGTCGTATTAACGCGGTCAGGAGGTTTATAGGCGAAGGCACCTAAAATAATTAGCCGACATAGTTCACATGGATTCAAGAAAGGAATGATAAATGGCATACCCAATTCCATTCTAGTAGATGGTGGTGTGAAGACCTGTTGGTTTTGCTGCTGAAACTGGTGCGGTCTCGCCAACTGAGTCTGAAAAATGTTCTGTTTCGAGGGACTAGCTCCTATAGGTCGAGGCATCGACATTGACGTCTGCGAGATCATATTATCTGCAAGCTGAGTAAGAGGACTATCCCCTTCACCAACACCAGAACTCGAAAGATGTGCTGGTCTATTTCTTGATTTAGTTTTCAACTCGATATCCTGCAAGATCTGCTGTTTGAAGAGATTATCTGTACTGGCCAGAACCCTGAGGTCCTTTCGCTCAACGGGAACCTTAGATTCTGCTTGCCCTCCAACGTGAGAAGGAAATCTAGGAAGAGATAAGCGACCTTGTCCATTACCAATACCAGCCGTAGAGTATGCAGCGAGTCTTTGCATAGGTTGAGATAACTCAAACGAAGGACGACTCAAGTACCCCTGAAGTGGATCGTGTACCGGAATATCATACGAAGCTCGCACATCTGTATTTTGATCAAGAGGCGACATCCTTTGCCCAGACTGCCTTGGTGCCGGAGCAAAAGTAAAACCTGCAGAAGGTGGTTCCTCTCTTGGTGCCATCAAATATCCAGACGATTGGTTATGCTCTATGTTGTTATAATGGCCTCGCCCATTCATATCTTGGCCATATGAACCAGTAATTTGTTGAGTGTGCTGCATTGGAGATGGTCCGAAGGTGAATCCTGGTTCTGGGGGTAACTGTTGAGAGTCTTTACCCGCGAAGAAGTTTGCAGAAAATCCCGGACCTTTTCCATCTTCATGATGAGGTACACTACCAGAAGTATTGCCAATTGCACTATTCATAATCTTCTGAAGACGAGGATCCCAACCTCTATCCATGGTGACTTTCACTGGATGTGGAGCAAGACTTTGCTTGATTGTTCGTAGGTAATCTGAAACCTTTTCAGGATTGATGATAAATGAAAAGAGATTGAAAAGGAATAGGAAATATCAGATGAATACCTGATCACGCCGAGAAAGAATATCATGAACCTGAGAAATAATGAAATGAAGTGTGTGTGCGCGTGCGTCAAAGGCAACCATTGATGTTGGTATACCCCTCAATTGTTTAGCGTGCTTTCCATTTTTGACTTCACTTGACTTTTACTCTTCACCTACCAACCACATCGATATTCTTTTCTTAAAAATCGAGCCAAACGTATCGTACGATGTATAAAATCTTGGGATTGCAATATCAAAAGTCTTAAACCGTGTCAACATCAAGAAGATCTACTTCTCAAATCCACCACAGGTCAAACGTCACGTATCCTCCATCCATTCCCTTCCTTTTCATTCCCTTTTCATCCAGAAAATATCATTCCAGCTGACTTTCCCTAATCATATATGTGATATTTCGCTATTCCATAGGTATCCTATGCGTGTGCACGCAGAATGTTTTTTCCCACCCAGGTATCATTTTCTTCGTCTCTTCATTTCGTCATCTCGCTTCACCCCCTTCTTTACCTCTTCGCCCAATTTTCAAGCCAACTCTATGGAATTTCCAACAGTATGAAAACCATTGTCGATGCTTAAGAAATTTGTGATGATGAATCGCTCGCCAAAGTGAAGTATGCATTAGAGAACCCCGCTGCAACTCTCCCACCATCAACTTCAACCCCAACCTATTCAACCTATCCACCCAACAATCAATCATCCCTCTTAACCTTTCCTCTCGAGCTTCCCACCCTCGAATGATGTCTCATAGGTGAACTAGGCCTACTGGTTGATAACGATGCTCCCGCTCCTGGGCCTTTCAACCCATTCAATGGATCCAACGTCAGACTCGACCTATCCTCTTCATACTTTGGCGTAAATCCATTATCAATCGTCGTCTTCTCATAACTAGCGATATTGATTGGTGGAGGTCTATTACGTTTCCTCTCCGGACCGCTGTAGAGCCATGTTGCAAACAGGACTATCGACGTACCGATAAGAAACTATGAATGTGTGAGTAAGAATATTCAAAAGCAATTCTCTCCAAAAACTTACATTGAGTGTAACCTTAAAGTCAAAAAACCAAACGCTGAAAATGAAACTAATAACAATGCTAATACTGGTTGCGAAATTCTTCGCGATGTTATCACTATAATTTATGCAAAGTGCAACGAGAATCCCTCCCAATGCTTGCATAACAATAGCTGTCCAAACTATCGCATTGTAGCCATCAAAGAATCCATTCTTCGCAATTTCCTCTCCATCTTTGAACATCACTCCAAAGATTAAAGCTGGGAAGAGAGAATAGAAAGAAAGCTGAACATTCCTCGTCCAAATCGTAACATGAGTCGTAGATTCCTTTAGCACCTTCTCAAAATATACTCCTGTGAGACCCGAGATGACCGCCGCGCCCAACACAGCCATGAGACCAATTGAATAATTCATAACTGGTTTGACGAGCCCTTGATCTTCTTGTATTCCCTCATATGTAGCAGATCGTTTCGCAAGACCCTCGGAAACCCCCTCCATACCACGTTTCGTCAATTCGGCTGCTACTTCCACTGCGCCATTGCCCATTTGTCCCAACTCATGGAAAGAGCGTGGAAAGTAAAACCGGGATTGTGAATCATTCATTGTCGAATATGCAGACGGGGTCCCGCCGGGTAATTGAACAATCGTCACCCCAATTGTGAGCAAAACTAGAGCTATCCATCGTTTGGAGGAAAGTGCCCTTCTCAGCAAAACCACACTGAAAACCGCCGTTGTGAGAATCTACATGGCCAAATTAGTAAACCATCACCCCGCACATACAACAGACATAACCAACCTTCAATTGATATAAAACCTGAAACTGTACAGCTTCCAAATTGCTCACGGCAATATATTGCAAGGAATTCTGCAGAGTGTACAGAGTAGCTGGGATAGCCAATTTCCAACCGTCTCCAGAAAACACAGACATATACAATTGTTCGAAAAGAACCGTGGCGGGTGTAGAGGGGGGTAACGTTCGTGAAATATCGTACATGGCAATCGTCAAGGAGACAGCCAACTTCATGATCTCATTGAGGAAAACTGCGGTTGATGTGAAATATCTATGCCCACCCCCTAATGGCATTATCCTACTATAATGCATTATCTGTAACCATATTAGCTATCCTTCCCACCAATACATCATGTCAGGAGAAAAAGTAGAAGCATTTCGATGATGTCAACGTACAAGTATGAGGGCCGAATTTTGGAAAGTAAGCTGCGAAAGTCGTTAGCATCAGTGCATTTCCCCCAATGCATCAAAGTATATCCTCACAGAAATAAGAGAAACATGCTTCATGGAAGCCCCCATCCAACTCTGCGACGCGTCTTCTATCGCCATCGCGCTCAAGATTATACTGTTCTTTCTCTATGTGCCAAAACCGCGGGGGGTGGATCTCCTCTCTCTATCCTCAATAATCTTATCTCTCAGAATGGGAATGATATCGTTAAAAGGTAAGATAAATCGATCATGAATAAGCAAAAGCCTTTAAGTGCAAGGCAAACAGTGAGGTCAACGATGTAAAGGAAAGGAAGTATTTTTGCTCTTGTTCGAAAAGTGACGATCCAATGTTCTAGCTAGGTATTTCTTGACCCTGTTCATTGGTTTGCCCTGCCCTGCCGTGCTTGCTTTCCTTTCCAGATGTTCAAAATTCAAGATTCTTGGGTGTACAAATCAACCAATCATCATCAAGATGCCGCAAGCTCTCCTGTATATCCACCACCAAATTGACAAGCTGATCAAACTTGCACAATGTGGAGATTTACATGCCCTGGTCCTCTCCAATTTTATGAGGATCCAGATTCACCAAAGTAGAATTCTTATTTCTATTTCCAGACCTGATCAGCTATCATCAAACAATTCACGATATTTGCATTGAAAAACTATTGAAGTATCAAATGAATCAACAAATCAATCCCATCTCATCTCATCCCATCCCATCGTATCCTATCCTTCAAACCCATCAAACAACCACCCACTCTCAAGCCAGCTCCAAAAAATTTCTTTCAAAAAAAAAAAAGTCTAAATCACATCTCCAAATTCAATGACAACATATGTCTCACCATCACCCACCTGGACATCCCCAGATCTCCAGATCAATCCAAAAATCCCACAAACAAAACCACCTCACCACGCACAAACAGCACCTACCTAGGAGGTAGCTAGTATCCATAGCCAAAACCCAATCCAACACATCGCATTTACCATCCCAGCATCCCACCACATCCAACTTGAAAAGGTAGATTCGAGTCCTGACTGTACTGTACTGTACTGGACTGGAGTCTGAATCATAGCTAAATAATACCACATACCTAACAGCATTACATTATATTTATATTCACATACCACTATTCCCACCCCGTGCACACCACCACGTACACTTCCCATCCCCAATAATCTTGCACCTTCCCATCTCCCTCTCTCTCTCTCTCCCACCATCCCTCCATTCATTCATCCATCCCGTCTCCCATCCCCCATCCATCATCCACTCCAAAGCCAACCAACCCCCCTTCCCCCCTTCCCCGCTTCCCAACCCAGCCCAAACCCATCATCCAACCCTCCCTCCTCCCTCCTCTCACCTCTGACTCGCAACCCAATCAACCAACCACCCCCCCAAAACAAAGCCAACCTCTTACCCACTAGCCATCAATCTAATCCCAAAAAACCCAACCCCCATGCGTCCAGTCCAGACTTTTCTCCGTCCATATTCCGTCCATGCTGTATCCGACCTAGATCCATACTACACTACACTACACTATACTAACCTCGGAAGTTTCCCGCAGCCGAGCTACTCCTTATCGTGATTCCAAATACCTAGGTACTTACTCTACCTCCATAGGTACATACCATGCTGTATTTTTCGGTGGTATTAATATTTGGCTCTACATTTGACATTTGACATTTTACTCTCAATATTCGCTATTCGATATTCGATATTCGCCATTCGTATCAATATTGGCATGCCAATTCATTCAACACATACAAAAAATCCATTCAATCGTAAACATTAAACTTCGATTCGATTCGGTTCGATTTTCCACTCTCCATATCATCTATCTATCTATAATATAAACCTTTCTCTCTATCATCACCTATACACCTGCATACATCCATCCATCCATCCATTTATCTATCTATACAAATCTGCCCCGAAGCCTCCAACTCTTCATCTCCACTTGCACCATCTAACTATACAAATCCCTTCCCTCCCCTCCCTCCCACCCCATAAGAATGTATAAGTATAAAAATAAATCAAGAGGGGTATAAGCAAATATAACCAAAACCCATCAATCAATCAATCAGTGTAAGATCATGAAAGTAAACAAGACAGACAAGACACCCCAACCTCATCCACATCTTCCTATCCAAAATACACATACATACATACGTACATACATTCCCAAATCCGAATTCCAAATTCCAAAAAATCAATTCGCACCCAGTGATATCTCATAACAACAATAAATATAAATTACCCCCCACCCGCACCTCAAAATTACAATCCCCAATCCCACTCCTCATCCTATCCCATCCCCATCCTCTCACCCCACAAATCTCACTTTCCCCATGCTCGGATTTCTCTTCATCTGATCCTCATTTCTACTCCCCTTCTCCACCACCAAAGATGCAAATCTCGGATCATGTTGTGGTGGCGTACCCGGTCTCTTCAATTGCGGTACATCAATCGCACTCCCAATTCCATTTCCATTTCCCCTAACCTCATTCCTCGAAACCCCTCGACTATTCGTCGGCGTCTCATCATCTTCAAATTCCTCACTTCCCATACTCAAAAAATCACTCAAATCTGGACTCGGTTGTCCATATTCGATTCCTATCCCATATCTACCTCCGAATCCCATTCCCTTCCCCTTCATAATCGGCGCATCAAGAATCAATGGCACCTTTTCCGTTCCCGGTCTAATCGTACTCGCCGTACTCGCTTTGGAGAATCTTGATGAAGCTCGATTCCCCGTCGACCTCGGCGGTGATTTACTTACTCCACCTTCCGCTTGATGTTCTTCAATAATCTTTTCTCTCATGCGTGCTCTCTTTTGACGTAGCGCTTCAAGAAGTGCTTCTTCTTGTTGAGTAACTTGCATCATGCGACCACTAGATGTTGTATGAATAGAATCCGTTTCGGCATCAATTTCTTTGGGAGATAATGGCGGTGTTGGTTGCTGTTGTTGTTGTGGGATATATTTCTTGGGCTTGAGAGATGAAGTTGGCCCAGACTCTTGTGAATTCATAGAATCTTGCCTTGTGATACTTGGTGGCATTGGCCATTTTGATAATCCTCCATTCGGTTCCGGAATTGTCAAAAATGCCTTTGATTGTTCACTTGACTTCCTTGTGGATGATGAGGTTTTCATTGCTGATGGTCTTCTTGAAAGATTTTTCGTAGTACTTAGACGATTTTGGAGTGCAGGAGGAATTATTTCGCTCTCGGCATGTGAAGGAGCTTTTCCAATGGATATATTATCACGAGATTTCGATGGTTCAGTGTCAGATAAATCGTCTTCCGAATCAGAGGATAATGATAATACACTGCTTTGTTGTAGATCCGCACTCGAGAAAACACTTCCCCCGGTTTGCCTTGACGTTTTGGTGTTATGACTGGATATGCTTCCGGTACTGGATATACCCAAACTGGAATGACCTGTGCTTTGAGAGATCATACTATTGCGGAAATTTCCATTCTTATTTGAACGTACGTTTTTCCACGAAAATGCTTCCTTTTCTCCAGAGCTAGAATGTAAATCTTCCAGTCTTCGATGTCCTTCCCGTTTCTCTGAATTTAGCGATCCAGGTTGACGACTATTACTATTCTCTGACGTGCTAGGGAATAGATTAAAGATTTCCGGGACGTTCGATTCTGGTATCGCCTTCATGTGAGCATTTCTTGTTGATTGTTCATAGTAATCATGTGAGTCGTCGGGATTAGCATAATTTTGTTTCTGTTCCCTTTGGTCCCTGGACTTTGTTGACAGAATATGCTGCCTTTGTGGATGTAATGATTCTTTCGAAGCTGCTTTGACAAGTCTATTTCGAAGTGAGGTACTTTGCTTGGAAGAGTCGTAGGAATTTTGTGATGCTGCCGAAGGTCTTCTTTCTGACCTATGAAACAACGAAGATATACCCGCCCTCACTGACTTCTTTCGTTCCGGTGATCCCAAATGATTATCATTCATACTCGATAGACTTTGACCAGCTTGGTCCCAAGGATCCACGGAATCGACTTGTAAGAGTGGACTCCTACTCACAACTGGTGCAAGTCCTTTTCGAAGAGCCATATCTCGTGCAGATGATGCAGAAGTTTGTTGTGATATCGCAGCCGGTAACTTTTGTCGATCATAATATGATTTCAAGGTAGATGTAGAATTTTCATTTCTCAATCGATGTGTTGTACTAGAAGTTTCCGTAGCCATATCTTCTCCAAAACGCTGACCCAATGCATTAGATGAAGCCTGTCCTCTCAAATTCGTTTGCCTAGGAAAAACGCCCGATTCCCCATCCCATTGATCATAATCATTACCATCCTGAACCGTCGAATGTGTTGATTCTGATATAGAAATGCTAATTCGACTCGATCTAGATCCAGGTCTCCTCCAATCCCCCGATTCGATAGTACCCGTTCCCAGAATTTGTTCGGCTTTTGATAAGTTCCCTGAAGATATCTTGGATGGTGGTGGAGGTACTTGATATGCTTGTTCTTTACTTGAACTACGCTTGCGCCCAGGAATGGGAAATGAGAATTTTGAAGTTCGTCCCATCTTGATGAAGCTTCAATGGATTGGAAAATGGCTGGTAGGTAGATATTATGTATTCGTAGAGATGGTCGACCTCGGTATCTCTTTTCAAGCTCCAAGCTCCAAGCTCCAAGGCCTAAGCTATATGTAGTTATGTTCTAGAAATATCACAATTGCGTGTGCAGCGCACATGCAGGCGCTGTGCTGTTATCAAATTGAACCGCCGTTACCGTTTTTCAATGAGCATCGTGGCTTTGAATCGTGAATTAATTGGGAGGGGCTTTGAATTCCGCTAACCAAGCTTGATACCAGGGTTCGTTATACAGTCGGTGTGTATATGTATGTATGTATATATGTATGTATGTGTGTGTGTGTGTCTGTGATGTGATGTGATGCGATTGCTGACAAGGCTTACAATATAAAGTACTCGCTCGCTATATATTGATCATGAAGTCGTTGAAGAAAGATGTGAAAGAGATGAAAGAGATGACATTTGAAGCAGCTTGAGATGCAATGGTCTAAAGTTCAGAAATCCCAAGAAACAGATAACAAAACAAAAGAGAAAAGATTCCTAGTCCTTCTCGGAAATTTCATTATTTCATAACAATAAAAAAAAGTATCTAGGAAGATGGATGTTACAACTTACGGGTTAGTAGGATGAAATTGAATTTGGTCGTGTCAAATCGTAATCTCCATGAAGGCCCATCCTTGATCAATATGGAATGGACCCTGCGCGATAATTGAGGAACCATATACCAGGATCAACACTTACCAAGCTCCCAGTGGCTCCCAGTGGCTCCCAAGTCTAAGGGATTAAAGTACCAAGTACGGAGAGGACTCCATAGTTGACGATTAAAAAAGACTGGGATTGCTGGGATGGTACATGATCATTGATGATATGTAGTTTAGATTCTTAAAACAGTCGAATCATCTCGTCTGCTGCGAGCTTACACAGTTTGGTATGAATCCACCGCTGAACATGTACGCCGTACGGAGGACTAGGTTATTGAAGAGAATTCGGATGCCGGAAACTCTTAAAGATTATGCTTCATATATTGAGATCTGTTGGATGGTGGACTTGACGGCCCGTCCGCTTCAAACCACGGAAATGGCATAGGTAACATCGAGGAATGCATGAAGATGTTCTTGTGAGCCTATCTAGCCAAATAAACCACGGAGGTAAGACTACAGATACGGAGTAGGAGGAGGACGTGGCTGGAAATTTGATTGGAGAGCTTTTGACCTGTATGGTTACGTATATTATGTTACATGTAGTGCGAAGTCTATCTTGGTACTGACTGCTTCAAGCAGATTGACTGTGCTTTCTACGTCCCTATGCCACCTCATGCTGTGCGAAGGATGTATGTACTCTGTATAGAGTCGGGTGCTGGTGTTGATGAGATTGATGAGATCTCGTTAATATCATGATTCATGAAGGGGCAAATCACATCCTATCCCATCCCATCCACCCCATTCACAAAGATGAAACCATGTAAAACTTCAAAAGAAGATGTCACTCGATTAACAAAAGTAATATACTGCAATTATAATCTGTATTCACTATTGCGCACTACTTTCTTTTATAACAGATGGCACGATTCAGTGTTTTCGCCTTCCTTCGCCGCCACAAACGACCCTGAACTGTAATTCTCAACTCTAAAATTAAACGAATTCATCTGATCTAAAATAATCCATCAAAACTATTGAACTATCTAACTTCATCTCTTCGCCCTCATTTAAGCAATCAATCAATCAATCAATCAATCGTACCCCATCAAGAAGTCTTCATTCGACAGCTCAAATGAAATCAATTCCTGTCCATCGAGGTACCTATAGTATAAACTCCTCGCCAAGTCACTATCTCATACTATATTTTACCGCAGGCTACAGTCTCTTCTTCACATGATGTGCTGATAAAGTTGTGAAGATTGGTAGTAAATCCCCCATTTCCCTTTTCTCTTTTCCCATTCCCCTAGTGTGCACGTATGGCATGTGTGTGAATCAGGGAGAGTGCACATCCCCCAACATACCCCCAAGCCTATTACATCCGATCCCCAATTCCAATCTCAAGGTCTCGAGACTAAAGAGTTCCCCGCAAACATACATGTGCACTCACTTCATGTACAGGATAGTACGATGTACCAGTAGTAGCCAGGTGAATCGTACGTGGATACACCTCGAGAACCACCCCCTTTCTCCCCCCTGTAGTTCCATCCTAAAAGTCTCACATGGTAAGAAAGAGACGTAGACCATCATCTGTGATCTCCTTCCTTCCAATCCTCTAGATATCACAGCGCGAACTCTCTCTTGCTCTATTTCCCGTCACATCAAATCACATCACAAGTCACGAGCCTCTTTCACAAGCGACATTTAATTTCTTGAATTGGAACTCTCAACCTTCCGAACCCAGCTTGATCTCCAGTCTCCCAACATCCTATCTACCGAGCCTGTCTACTAACGCTAGAACACACCAACAAACTACTTTAACACTCACCAGTGATCTAAAGACTAAACCCCAAAAGAAACAAAAAACCGCCCAAGGCTAAATCCATCAAAAATGCGTTCATAGCATTCAAATAGTCTCAGCCCAAACCCATCTATATCCAAGGTCCATCCCTTCAGAACACACCAGAAGCATTTCACATATTCCAATCATTCCACGCTGTGACGCTCGCACCTATTCCCACTCTTTTCTTTTCCAACCTGACGGTTCAAGAGAAGGAAAAAGAAAGTAACCAAGGAAGCAAGAAATCCAATGACAAGCAGAACTCCTGCCCGTCATTTTGATCTGCCGTCACAGGAGATCAATATTGCTTTTTTCCCCATCACAAACTATCCGATCACGTACCTACTAGGTAGTATATAATTACTTTTTCTTCCATTTCGATTTCTAAAAACAGTACCCTGAAGATCCATACTCCGTACCTCTTTTCTTTTTCCTTGACCTTCCATCTTCCATTTTCCATTTTCCATTTTGCCATTCTTCCTTCTTTTCCCAATTCTATCTAGACCCCAAACTCTAAACGGCGACACCGACACCGAACTCCAGCACTAACACTAAAACTAACTCCCACATGTTTCCCACGCTTCATTCCACTTGCACCCAACACTAATTCAGGTACCAGAAACTACCTAGATCCTGATCGACTAATAACATCATAACATCATAACATCATATTTTCCATGAATCATAACATGATACCAAAGTTTCTCTCCATCCCATCCCATATCACCCTACCTCATCATTAGTATTGTATCTCTCCATAACGTCCTGTTTCATCCTGTGCTTTTCATCCCATCCATATTTCGTGATCGACCTACATGCCCTTCCTAGTTCGACACGTGAAACCTCATTCGTTTCACGACAACCAGCAACCATATGTTGCACACGTTACAAATATATACTCAACCTCCGTTACCTCCCAACTAATCACTACTCCGTACACTTAGCTTGGTCAAAAATGTTTGATACACAAAATGAATTAGAATCACAAGTACTACATAAACATCTCATTATGCATGAAACCTCAAGGAAGGGAAGTCGGATGAATTGAAATGTATAGAAATTATTTTCTGCTATATAAGACTACACATAGAAGACTGATTTATCTTGTGGCGACCGGATGCAAAGCTAATCTACATGAAATAGTGCTCAAGCTAGCAAAAAACTATCAATCAATAATAAAACGTTTCATACTCTCCCGAAACATCATCACGAGCATCAGCCAATATGAATATTGTGCCTATCTCTCTGCCCAACTCCTCGGCAGGAGACTAATACAAACCATTTGATCTGAGACTGAAGGGACTAGTCGCTGATAGAGCAGATCGCATTCTCTTGCGAGCACTATCCAATCCTTCATCACCAGTACGTTTGTTGGGTTGTTGAGGGGTTGTTTGAGCAGGGCTTCTTGGTGATCTTCTCAATGAACTAGGGGTCTGAGTACTGCTTCCTTCACTTCGCAGGCCACTTCTGATTGAACCGTCAGGTTGACGAAGACGACGACCGACTGGTGTAAGTTGGGTCTGGTCCAAGGACTTATGGGTCAAATCAGGTTTCGTAACTGCTGTAGCAAACTGTAATGCATTAGAACTTTTCATTTGCTAAGACGAAGGAATACTTGCAGGCTTGGTATGAGGAATGTGTTTAGATGGATCAAACAATTCCATTTGAAGCTTCTTGATGTCGGAGAATCGAAATGGCTCCTTGGAGGACTTTGGACATTTCTTAATGATACCTTCGGTTTTCAAAGACTCAAGTTCTTTCTGCGTCTTTTCCAAGTTCCAATCTAGAATCGTGGTCAGTGTTGCACGAATTCTCGTTGAAGAAAACCTACCCATGTACTGGCAAAAGCCTTCCATATCATTGAAGCCATTCTGTTCAAGATAATATACCATGCGTCTGCGGCAACATATGGGGTATATCTTCTTATAAAGAATTCCTCCGTCCGACTTTCCTAAGAGGCAGTAATAGCACTTGAAATTCGCGATGACACTTCCCTTGCTATAGCCATAGCACTGACTGTGAAAAAAGTTCCTACAATTTTCACATTGATTCTTCCTACAAATTAGAGTATGCAAACGAAGATAAAGGCAGACATACCAAATTTTCACGGTCTTCATAATTATGACACTCGCACTGTACCTCCTCCTCTTCTTCCGACACTTCCTCAATTCCTTTACCATTGACCTCTTCTCGTTCAAGAAATGGCGTATGCTTTCCAGAGGTGGTAGGCCGGCAGGCGGGTATCGGTTGTGTGTCCATATCGTCAGATCCTTTTGCGTGTCCCTTAATTCGTAGTCGAGTTAGTATATCAACTAAATAACATACTCTCTATGTACTGGTGATAACCTACAATCTGATTGATCCATCGCATTGTGCTCTGCTGTGTATCAACACTTTGTGATAATTGACTATGTCGCAAGGAAGACTGACTATTGTCGCCAATCATCACATTTGCTAGTGGTGTTGTGGATTTGAGACCTCTGGCCGTTGTTAAACGTTTTCGATCAGAAGTTACCTTCGCATCATCCAATGCTGTTGCTTTTGGAACGTGGGTATCCATGGCTGGGGCATCGTAGTACTTTATTTCAAGTCTATTAAAGTTAGAACTGTTGTAAAGTCTTGGATATCGCAATGTTATACCCATGAACGCCGGTGCTTGTTTGGCCCATGAGAATTCCACAACCATCAGGAAGTATCTGAGATGTCGACAAAGCATGAAATCCTCGATATTCATGCTTAGGGCGTGTATTGTCATTGTACACCAATTGCATACTCACTTTGCGTCCGACTATACTTATATTCAGCGGATGTAAAGTAATGCTTGATGGTAAGAACTCACTCGATTGGCCTTGAAGATTTCGAGAACTGTTCATAACCTGTCGAATCAAGTCTCTTAGTCCCTCCTGTGCCGATCCTAAACTGACGGTATTTCCATTCTTGTTCGACAAAGAAGCAGAAATTTGGACATGAGAATTTTCTTCAACATCTTTGTAAGTGAAGTTTATGGTGAATGCTTCAACGAGCTGTTCGGGGACAACTTCTTTTCGATAAAGAGAGAGTTGGAATTTTGCCAAACATTTATCGCTTACAGCATGTCCAACTCCGAACTCCTGATTATTGATTAGCTAACCACCATATAATAGACTAGAATATGGCAATATACCAGCCAATCGAGGAGTTTTTCTGCGCCAGGGTGGCCCGTCCCTCGCACAACAGAACTGAAGGAAACGATTTCATCACCAGCTTTATTCAAATGGAAGTTCCTAGGGATGTTTGCTCCGTTGATAAAAGCTTCATAGGTAGGGTTTGGATCGGATGCATCGTAGATTCGGGTCTTGTAGCAATTAGTGGGAAAGAATTTCCTACCAAAGACAAACTGGCTGACCTGAGAAGCATCTATTAGCGGACACAGAAGTAAAAGGAGCCTAAGATACACACAGCAGCATTGACACCAATCTTGACCAACTCGAAGCTTTGTTGTTGGTTGAGTACAAGTTCTGGTACTGTCTTAGGAGTGTCCACAGGAGCCTTCGCCTTACCGTTACCCTTCTGCTTCGCCTTTGTTTGTGGTTTTACCGGTGATTTGACACGGACAGGACGATCAGATTTTGGGTGCAGCTTTGGTGCCATAGTGAAGCACGCTGAAATAAATGATTGTTGGAGAATTATGGATGGAGAGAGTTGTACAAAAGAAAAGTTGAAGGTGTAATTCAACTTTCAATCGATCACGATTCGACCGTTCATTGAAGTTCTGAGGCTTGCTGGAGCCTAGAATTCCCTCTCGAGAAAGTGGGAAAATCCAATTCCAGTCGATGATCAGGAAGAGAATCGTGACGAGTGAATAAGTGAATACTGGGTAATTGTGGACTGATACTCTGTAGGGAAAAGACAATATAAGATGGTGTTCGATTCGACGTATTGATGAATGAGGATGGAAATAATTAATTGAAGGTGAAAGTGAAAGTGTAAGGGTTTGTGTGAAGTTGTGTGAAGTTGTGTGAAGTTGTGTGAAGTTGTGTGAAGTTGATGGAGAAGAGAATGACTAAGGAAATGAAGCGAGAAGCAGGCAGGTAGGTAGGTAACATATGATAGTAGGAAGTTGCATGTGGACGGAAAAGGAAGGCGTGCGCTCCTCACTCTTCTCAAATTCTCTTCCATCTGATATTGTTTTGAGAAAGTCTCATTCTAGCACTTGTAGAATCCATTGAGTTCCCCTAGTCTACCGTATTGCCTTTGAACTGCCTTTGAACGACTCTCGACAGGCTTTACAATATCCCTCTATATAGATGGATACATCACATACAAAGACTCCCCTACCAGAGCGAAGCGAAAACGGCCTCCACGGCAGTGGCCCAACGGAGCGTCATTCATTATCTCATCCATCATCTCATTCATTCATCTATTCTCACATTACCCATACCAGCCTTCCCTTCAACATATGAAACTTCAACGACTCGACGCTCATGGTATCATAAGACTGGATTATGTGGGTTGGATTGACGCTCCCCTGGCCCTCTGGGGCTACCTACTTCTGTGGAGGCCGAACAATGGTAACGAAACAATCTCTGGTTGAGAGGCACATCCACATCAACCATTCAATGCCCATCTACCTTTATAGCTACCATATCATCCATTTGGCAAATATGCGAAGCACTTAGAGACAGATCTCATGCCTTGAGGCGAGGGGAAATGCGTTGTTGTGTGCTTGTAAGCTTACATACCTAGGTACGGAATACTCAGTGTCGTATAATCCCTCTTGTGGCGGGCTCGGCACATACGGTAAGGTTTTGTCGTGCGGAGTTCTCCTTACTTACTCAAAAATCGAGTCATTTGAGATGGCAAATTCAGACTATGATATATTGCCATGAAAATCATCATGCACATTTTCAAAGTAAGTTGGGCTCGCCTCAGGTAAATACACAGAGGTTCTCCAACTAGAAGATCTCCTTTTTTCGATTGTACCAAGCAAAGAAGGAAAGAAAGCAAATGTCGACATTTCATTGCCCTTTCATTAGCATGCAACAGAGTGTGTGATCCATCGTATGTACATATAGAAGACATCAGCCCGAAAATCGTACCTCTTCCCCGTTACAACAAGGGGCACAGAAACCCGAGTATGAAAAAGAGGTAGATCGTGAGGTATTGTGGCGACGATACTGGACAGTAAGTGATATTCCAAGAAAATGATAAGAATCACGAGGACCCCATTTTTTTATGGATATAGATATCTTGGTAGTATGTGCTCCGTACAAAGATGTAATCTTAAATATAAATATATTGGAATGAATGAGAATGTGATGCTGACGTTGACGTTCCATTTCGCCGACTCCGCCTTCCTGTCCTGCCTTTGTAGAATAGTACATATGTATATACATATACACACAGCCAGTACGTAGGTACGTAGCTGAGTAGTATCTAGGTACGATACCTACCTATTTATCGCCATTGTACGGTGAAGGCCATGAATGAATGGATGAGCATTCTTGTCCAGAACCGCTTAATAAAAAAAAGTTTAAACCCGGCGAAACAAACCATACACGAACCGATCTATCTCCACCTTCCACTTTCCATTCACCACCACCAGTACACGCGCTGAGATAAATCTTCGCAGTACTTCATTTCTCTCGCCCAGAAAAGGACTTATTTCTCTCCTTCTCTTGTACATTCTCTCTCTTTCTCTTTATTGTCAGTAATATAATAGTCTCCACTCGCCAACTTCATATTGTCTCACCACGGTTCTTCTTACACGTTGCCCCCGATTTCATACTCTGCGGATTGTCTGTCATCCGTGTCGATTCCATATCTCAAATCCCCCCACCACGACCACGATAATACTTTTCAACGTCGATTAATTTGGCTATGTTATCATTGGAATCATAGGATACTAGGGCTTGTTTTAAAGTTGCCGTATACTCGCGTGTGGTCAGCCTCATATAGGGAACGCGTACGGCTTATTGGAGAGGGGCAGGCCGGAACTTTTGCTTCAAGTCTCCAACTCAACTGAGCACTCGAATTTCGACAAAATGGATCCTCCTCATAGACCTCAGAGTAAACACCGAACGCTTTCCCAAAGTACTCAAATGCCTGGAACACCAAAATTCAAATCAGACGCCTCCCCGAGTCCGTTCATTTCGAATTCGAAGTTGTTGCAGCATAGTGTCGAGACTCGACATCCAAGTCAGACAGTTTCTTTAGGATGGCAAGATGGAGACGATACAGTTGGACATGCATCCAGATTGCAAGTTGAGTTGGAAGATGTTATAGAAACGAAAACTGTCACCACGACCACTACAACCAAGCGATCATATCCTCCACTACTCTTCCAAAATCCTCGACCAGTCGATAGCCTTGACGCAAAGGAATATCCTTTAGCATTCAAGCCGACTCCTGCTGAGCTTACCAGGTTTTCATACGAAATTGATGGACGACAAATGGAGTATGAGGAAGATAATTTACGAAGTATTATGCACGAGGTTCGAATATTTTCATTTTCTTGTACGCTTTTTTGAGATCTACATTACTAATCTTCAAAAATCTCCAGAATTCACAAATCGAATCACTTCACAAATCTCTCTCGCGCTGTCGATCAAAAGAGAATCGTGAACAGTTCAAAGATGGATTAGCTAGAACAGACAGAATGATCAAGCTGGATGCGGAAAGTAGCAACTTGAGAAGAAGGTGTTCGAAATCGAAAGGCACGTCCGACTATCGACCCGTCAGCAGACCTAGCAGTCCACAAGCAGCAGAAGTTCCCAATAATGAAGTTAAAAATGTAGGCTCGACTGCTCAACCCGAAATTCGACGTCGAAACCATGGTCTTGGTATGCACTTACCCGAATTGCCAGTAACTCCCGATTTGTCCGAAGTAGAGTTATCCTCAAGAGATGTTCCTTCATCAATCTCTCGATTTCAAACCAATGCATACACCCCCCAGTCTGGTCTAAGCCAAAATAGTTCGTTCGAGAATTCAGAAAGTCATTCGGAAATTGTCAGCGAAGAAACGTTTAATAACGCAGTTGCTACACCCCCAATCGCAGAATCTGACCTTGAGTCGGCTGGTCTTGATACAAACTTTGCACAAGGCCAACGCCCACATTTAAATACTGCACTTGCTCAAAACGCAAGCCTACCTAGTCCTGGTCTGTCGCCTACTCCAACCTCTCCTGAATTTGACAACGATGATACAGGCGACAGTCAGGAGACTTTAGATGAGTACGCTATTCAGGTAGATCAGACAAGTACGACTCGAGATCGGCATATCAGACCTACAGGATTGCATTCACAAATTTCTACCGTCATGGAGATTGGTTCTATGCTGGATACTTTCGATGCGATGCCAAGCGAGTTGAAGGCCCTGGTGATGTATCAGCTTAGTAGAAGGTGCTCCAGGAAAACCTTGCGGGCTGTTGCGGGTTTCGTAAATCCTGCTTTGATGTGCGATTTCCTTGATGAACTTCCTGCTGAATTAAGCCTGCATATTTTAAGTTACCTGGACCATAAAGACCTTTGTCGTGCCGCACAAGTTTCGAAGCGTTGGAGAAATGTTATTGACTCGAACGAAACTGGATGGAAAGAACTTTTTGATCGTGATGGTTTTACACTTCAACCTGAAGAACTCGAGCGAGCAATACGTCAAGGTTGGGCATGGCAAGATCCTTATGGGCCGGATGGTTACGAAATGGATTTGAGTAGTAAAGACAAATCACTCAGTGTGGAAGGAAACACGCCTGGTAGTGGCAGCAAGATTGACACACTTAGAAGACCTCGGGCTACCATTAAAAGAAAGCGAACTACTGGAAATTCGGGATCGGAACGCGCGAAGAGGAGAGCGACAGGTAATGATGTTTCAACCAAAATCTTAGAACCGGCATCCAGATTTCATAAATCTGAAGGCCCACTAAGCGCTGCTTCTGCTGCTGCATTGGCAGTACCAAATCCCGAATTAGGTCTGCCAGGATTACGAAAACTTCATCTCTTTAAATCTCTTTATCGCCGACACTTTCTCCTTCGACATAGCTGGACAAATCGTACTGTTGAACCTCATCATATGGCTTTCAAAGCTCATCCATCTCATGTAATTACATGTCTTCAATTTGATGATGAAAAGATCTTGACAGGTAGTGATGATACATGTATTCATGTCTACGATACTAAAACTGGAGCTTTACGCAAAAAGCTTGAAGGACATGATGGAGGCGTTTGGGCTTTACAATATGAAGGAAATGTTCTTGTTTCTGGATCCACTGATCGTTCAGTACGGGTTTGGGATATCGAAAAAGGTCTTTGCACTCAAGTCTTTCATGGTCATACTTCAACTGTACGATGTTTACAAATCCTGATGCCATCAGAAGCAGGAAAGACAGCGAGTGGTCAATCTATTATGGTTCCTGAGCAACCTCTTATTATTACTGGTTCTCGTGATTCTCAATTACGCGTATGGAAATTACCAGCCCAAGGAGATAAGCGATACATTCAAACTGGACCACCAACTAATGATGCTGATTGCCCTTACTTTGTTCGCGTATTAGCTGGACACACTCATTCAGTTCGTGCTATCGCTGCTCATCAGGATACTTTAGTAAGCGGTAGTTACGACTGTTCGGTGAGAGTATGGAAAATCTCAACAGGTGAAGTTTTGTATCGTTTAACAGGACATACTGCAAAAGTCTATAGTGTTGTTTTAGATCATAAACGCAATAGATGTATCAGTGGTTCTATGGATACATATGTCAAGGTTTGGTGTCTCGAGACTGGTTCTTGTTTATTCACACTTGAAGGTCATACCTCCCTTGTTGGTCTCTTGGATTTACGTGATGAACGTCTTGTCTCGGCAGCTGCAGATTCAACATTACGGATTTGGGATCCCGAAAGTGGTGTGTGCAAGAGTACTTTGAGTGCACACACAGGTGCCATTACATGTTTCCAACATGATGGACAAAAGGTTATATCTGGATCAGATCGTACTTTGAAAATGTGGGATGTCAAAACTGGTGAATGCATCAAGGACCTTTTAGGTGACTTGAGTGGTGTCTGGCAAGTCAAATTTGATGGAAGAAGATGTGTTGCAGCCGTACAACGTGACAATTTCACATTTGTCGAGGTTAGTATTTATTCACTTTCAAATCTCCATTTGTCTCTTTACTAATAATTTCAACAGGTCCTCGACTTTGGTGCATCACGAGACGGTGTTCCAAAATCCGAACGTGGTCATCGTATCCTATTACCCAGCATCGACGAAACCGAAAGAATAGTCGAAGTTGCTGACAATGCAAACGCATAAACGAATGTATGAAATTTAAATGACGTCTAATGAAACTTAAACCCGAGAATGTATGAAATAGAATTACTCATATTCATGAAATAATCATCATTCTCATTGGGGAATGGGAAGGGGAAATGGATGGGAGGTATACCCTGGTTTATTCAGCTGTTATCTTCGCTTTATATTTCTTCACAGTATAAGTTTTGAGGTTCAATTCCTCAATCGGGGCGTTTTTGGGTTGAAAGGAGGGTGGCCAAATTGGTGCATATAATTTCTTTCTATGCATAGCGAGGAATTCGTTCTCTTTTTCCTTTTTACGAATTCCCTTGATTTTAGTTAAAGTTCATTTTTTTCGTCTTGTCTTCTCTCGTTCTTTCCGATGCGCTCTTTTCTTCTTTTTCCTCAGCAGCGGTTGTGAGATACAAGCGAATTCAACTTATGGTGTAGGCTATCTCTATACATATAGTAGTATAAGCTAAGCTGGACTCTGTGTTGTCTGGCTAGGTGTTTCTTCTCCGAGGGGTTGAGGAGACAGGGAGGGAAAGAGGGGTAAGGAATGATGCGACCATATAAATTTTATGGCTACGTGGATGGATGGATCAAAGCCGAGAGGTTAGGTAGTTGAGTGTAGACAATGTATTATGGGATACGACGGATCTATCTACACCATACATATCACGCTTCCATGCACGCGTATCACATCGGCCCCGATTCCTTGCGATTGTTTTTTTTTCTTGGTTGGGGAAGGGGTGGAGGAGGGAAGAAGACAATATTATCAAAGATGCGAAATGCAATCACTTACTTGCTTAATTTCAAGCGCATGACTTGAGCTTGAGCTAGTGCAAGTTGTATGGCTATTTTATGATATTCAATTCTGCAAAGCATTGCTCAGGGGTGGAAGTGGAAGGGGGGGTGCTAGGCGAGGAAAAAAGTAATTACATACAGTCCAATCAGTCAATCGGTTAATGAATAAGATGATTAAATTATACGTTACGTTGATGATTATGGTTTTGGGGGGTTTTTAGGTATGTGTGTGAGTGTTGTCCGTTTCAAAACTATACCTATTTGTGTGTGTATGCTCAGTCAGCCAGTCAGTCACAGGGCGAGTGCCATGACGAACATGAACAAATACAGAATTACACCAATGTGCCATTGATCAAATCACGTCACAGCAAGTCCAAAGCATTCTTTTCGAAAAAGAAGAAAAAATGGTAGTAATTATGCACGCTTTTCATTACCATGAACTATCCTCCCTTGACCTATGTAGGTGGGTAAGTAAGTTAGTTCATGAACCAAAGTGATTAATATTCAAAGAAAACCCCCCAACTCCAATTCCATGCCTGGTATCATTCATTTCCTTCTGCATGCGTGACGTAATAAAACACAATCGTTCTTCCCTTCCCTTTCCCTTTCCTTTCCTTTCCTGCCATTTCATTCCTTTCCAAAAAGAATATTGATCTCATTCAATATCGTGCTGTGGGGTATAAATGTTTCTCCGCTTCTGTTTCTCCTCGTTTGGTTTTCGGTTATGAATTTCATATATTTAGTTTTGTTGGAGTATGTAGATCAATGGATCTTAAGTTGTGTGATGAACGGTTTGATGACCATTGGTTGGTTGAGTCATTGCTGGACCATTGGTGGCAGCGATGGGTTGCTCACCAATACCCGATTCGGCCATCGATGGACTGTTGGTATCAATGGCAGCAGATTTGGTGTGGATTTGCCATGGTTCATCTTTGGGACCGAAGTTGCTGGCAAATGGTCCATGAACCTTGTCATGCGCGAGGGATTTCCACATGATATATGTACTGGGGAATGGATTAGTTGGTGGATTTAATGATACGTTGAGGGGATAACTAACCTAGCAATCGTGCCTAGCATACCGAGCCATAGGAGGACGACGGAAGCAACACAATATGCGTTTTTGCGGTAGATAGGATTTGGGGGACCGTTCAAATCGAAATATTGTTGTGCTTCGGAGTTTGTCAATCCATCGATCGTTGCGCGTTGGGTGGCTACGATGACCTGTACGGAAATGGTTAGCGAGGGAGTAAAAGAGATGAGATGATTCCAAGATATAAACATACGGTAAGAGCAATAGCATCTGCGAAAGTAAGAAAACACATCAAGACCGAACAAATCTTCCATGCTTTCTTGACTGCGATGGATTCATGACGCTGGGGCCAGAAGAGATCGAAGAAGAAACCGGAACCAAAAATGGTTGCGACGGCTATACCGACAAAGATGTTGAAGGAGAAAATTCCAACAATGTCTCGGACTGATGTATGATATCCGTAACGCGATTTAATGCCATCTCGTTGATCGACGTAATCTGAGAATTGGGTATGAATATTAGTAGTTTTCCTTTTTGATGAGATGAGAGTGGATGAGGGTAGGACAAGAAGAGAGAAGGATTCTTACCACTTAGAGCCGCCGTCCCAACCGATTCCGAACACACACATAGAATCATGGCGATTTGATATACGATCATCTTGGTTTTGCGAAGATGATAAACGTGGTTGAACATATAAGCTCCCTTGAACTTTCCCCATTGCATATCCCGGAGATCTAGACCCCAGATGATTGCCATTTTGAAAGATGGGAACTTGAACTTCTTGGGGAGTTTGGGAATTGGGGAATTGGATGGTAGTGTGGTGTAGTAATGTAGTAGTATGTATTTCGAGAATTAAGTTGTTCTTTTCTTTGCTTTGAAGAGGTACAGGTCCCTATGTCGTATAAAAGGCAACGATGATAAGGATGATAGTGAAGATTATCAATGGGATTTCTCAAAGCAACAAAGGATTATTTCAATATGATTAGTTATTGAAAAACAATTGAATCTTAAAGCAATTGAAGGAACCAAACTTGAGATGGAAAGATAAGAAGATATCTTAATTAATAAAGGGAAAAGAGAAAGAGAAGAGGAGAAAGAAAAATCAAGTCGAAAGGTAAAACAAAAGCTTGATGTATTATGAAGCAACTAAACTACTAACTACGAAAGATACGCTTGGTGTTTGTTCTTTCTTGGTAGGGAAGTATGATGATAATCCTTTATTTTATTTTTTTGGTTTGAGGGGGTGGATTGGAGGGTTCATGAACTACGTCATGGGTGTGGTTTGGTATGTCCGTATTGGTGGCAGGACTTGGACTTGAATGAAGGGTTACAAGTAGAGAGAGAGAAGATATGTATATGCCTAAGACCGAACTTGGATTAATGGATCACTTCCGATAGACGCCAAGATATGAAAACGGATTGATGAGAGGTTAGACGGCGTTCCTGTTGAGGATCTATCTACCTAGGTACCTCTATTTTCGTCCGGGTTTCACTGTTGATGTTTGCATTCCGGCGGAATCATGAGTCTTCGTTGTTAGTATTTAGCATCGGGGTTACCGAATGTGTGAGTGTGAGTGAGGGAGAGAGTCCGGCAAATTGGATGAGTAAAAGGATAATTATTAAGCTCGATCTAAGTAAGCTACTGTACTTGTAGATCTATAAAAGTCAAAATGATCACGCTTTGTTTCTTGACGTGCATCCCTTCCGTTCCGCTTCTTCCATGCACTTGTGTTGGTTGGTCCCTCATCCATTCTTGAAGCATGAGTGGCTGCATTTAACAAGGGTAGAATGGAATATGACGTTCGCAGCCACAAATATCGCAAATGTCGACCCTTGGACACGAAAACATTACCGGTATTGGTGAAGATTTGATACTTGACTCGACTTTGGAGGGGAAAATCTTCATCGCTTGCGGAAAGGGGGACTTGGGTTAGTACGGTTAGCTACTCGATGACTATGAAATTCTCTTGACCTACGAGGTTATTACGTATCTTTGTAGGTGGGTAGGTGTTAGGTGAGACATTTGATAAAGATACTAGATGATATATATATAAAAGCCGCGATCGTCCTTTTCAGATTATGACGAATTCAACAACCCTGGAATCGAATGCTTATTTTGAAAACTGATTTCTTCCTTTCGTTTTTGAACAATACAACAATCAAATTGCTTACAGTTCAGTCACACAGTTTATCTCAATACGAAACTACCAACACGACTTCACCAACTCCCGGACGGAAACTAAATTGTAAGCGCCGGCTTTGGTAGAAGCCGCTATCCATTCGACAGACAGAAAACTTACACCAACAAGATCCGTTCCGGCTGCCAATCGAGCCAAGGTAATAAGGCTGGCTTGATTAGCTGATCATATGATGGAAAACTCACATGACGCTATCCAAGAGATGAAATTCGGAACACCCAGTAATCGCTGAGTTGATCACCGAGTTGAATTGTTCGGAGATCATACTCGAGCACTTTCATTCGGATCCTGGCTGTTCGTTCCCGGACTCTCCAAATTGAGATGATCGGGGCGGTTGAGCCTCAAATGATAATTACTAGGTCATGGTAGAGAGCTGGCTATTGCTAGCTGACGACTTCTTCCTCTTGAGGCTTGTGCGCGCACTCTAGATCCGTGAGAGTGGATGGAATGGTTTCAAGAAATTCTTACTGGTATGAAGATACCTTGTCTGTCTCGGGAAGTACACTTAGCACTGCCAGTGACTATCCAATACTTGTCGTCGCCAGTTCTTCGAGTATTCCTGTCGTGCATACTAGGTAGGTAGGTAGGTAGATGAGGACATTCGTGGATTCAAGATCAATTTTGATTTCCACACTCCACGTTGTAAGTGGTAACGTACCGGTACCTAGGTAAGATGCCTTACAATTCTCATCTATTCTAAGGCATCACACTTTTCACACTACACCATATTAGAATTTAGCCCCACTGACCTTGAACCTCTTCTTGTCTTCAAAACTTCCAATTCATTCTTTTGATTTCTTCTTCAAAATAATTTCTGACTTTTGCCTCATTTCCCACCATCGCAACAACTCTCCTACTTCTACTTAAATACTCTCTTCTTTCTTCAATCTAAAAACATATCAACTTTGCAAGTTTGATTGTGTTGCTTTTCTTAATAATTACCTACATTTAATTCCTTTCTTTTTCTTCTACAGATTAAAGGTACGTTGCAAAAGCTCTCACTACAGAGATCTCTTCTCAAACCCCCTTCCTCTTTTTTTTATGATGAGACACAAGCTGGCACCAGTCAGAGTCGATTTGTACTCATATCTTTGAAGACAATGCTATGGCCTTCGGGCCTCCTTCTGAACAAAAAAAACCTTTCATTTACATGTTGAAAAATCTTCACATTCATTTGAAAATGCATGTTGCTGACCATCAATTTTGGCAGATTCTTTAAACAAAAGCTTTCAATCAAACTTCAATCAATATGGTTCTTCACAACCCAAACAATTGGCACTGGGTAAACAAAGATGCTTCAACATGGGCAAAGCAATGGTTGGAGGATAGTATAAAGGAGGTGAAAGCAGAGGAGGATGGTGTTACTGCTCAATTGGATAAATTGATTAGTATGGATGGAGATGTTGATGTCAATCAACGAAAGGGAAAGGTCATTACCATATTTGATGTCAAGCTCGTTATTGAGTATTCAGGTATGCCCTGTAGTTATAGTCAATATTATGAATTTCTGTCTAATTGGACTAGGCAAAACCAAAGATGATGAATCCGTTAGTGGTACCATCACAGTTCCTGAAGTTGCTCATGATACAGAAGAAAATGAGTATGTTGTATGTTTGAATCGTCTCCTGAATGTCTGCTTGGGATAATTTGTCTAATTGTGATTTTTTAGTTTGACATAGATATTTATTCCGATGCCAATTCCAAAGCCCCAGTCAAGGATCTTCTTCGTGCAAAGGTTATTCCACAACTTCGAAAACAATTCGCTCAGTTAGGTCCTGCTCTTATTACAGAACATGGAAAGGATATTCAACATGCACCAGATGCAAATCCAGCTGCCAAAATCACAGCCGCAAAGACATACCCTCATAATGCTCCAGGTCAATCTACAAGCACATCTACCAACAAGGGTTCTTCTTTAGTCAACACAACTACTGTTACCGATAATGAGGAATTCAGAGCTCCAGCTTCAGAACTTTATCAAACATTTACCGACCCTTCCCGAATTGCCGCATTCACACGCGCCGCACCAAAATTATTTGAAGGTGCAAAGAAGGGAGGAAAATTCGAGCTCTTCGGAGGCAATGTTTCTGGTGAATACCTTGAACTTGTTGAACCAACAAAAATCGTACAAAGTTGGAGACTTGATCAATGGCCACAAGGACATTTCTCTAGATTGGAAATTAACTTTGATCAAAATGATGTTGATAATGTTACGGTTATGAGAGTTTCTTGGTCTGGTGTTCCAGTTGGTCAAGAAGAGGTTACAAAGAGAAATTGGAGCGAATATTACGTTAGAAGCATCAAACAGACTTTTGGGTAAGTTTCTTTAGTAGTTTTCTTGGAGCGATTTATACTGCGACGCATGCTAATCTTATTGATAATATAGCTTCGGCACAATTTTGTAGATGAAATGATGGTTAGAATGGGGAAGCGAGGTGGTGGATGAATAAGGGGCATATACATGGAGAGATGAATAGTTGATGGAAGGCAAGCGAGCGAGCGAATGAACGAACGAACGAATGAAAGCAAACGAATACCTAGATGAATATTGAAATGAGCTTTTTTTTATTATGAATGATGGATGGATGGATGGATGATGAAGGGAAGGAAATTTTTTTAGATCACTATAGATGAATCTATATTGGCGTTGCTTCTACCCCTTGAAATACGAACTAACTTCCCCATATATCAAATTGTGAGGATTTCTTGAGTGACCGTTGATATATTTCTTAGAGCTCATATATGTATTAATGTAAGCATGCATCCAAGTCAAGAGGACATAAATGACGCTCCGCTGGCCCTCCGGGGGCCACTGCCGTGGGGGCAGACTACGATTAGGATTAGGACTATGAAGAGTAGACACTGAGGGTTGGGGTTCGAAAATAAGGGAAGGATGTTTGAGAATCGAGCGAAGCGAGCTAAAGGGGGTTTGGGGGCTTGCCCCCATGAAGAAGGTGGGGAGTGAGAGAGGGAGGTGAAGTTCGGGGTTTGAGAGGGTGGTGGTGATATAATGTGGTTTTTTGGGCTGGATGGAGGTGAGGATATAGTATGGATATGCGAGGATACAATGAGTGGTTTTCAGTATGGTGTTGTGGGTTTGGGTATGGGTGTGGATGGGGCTTGATGTGAGTATGGATATGGAAGTGGAGGTGTGTGGGCGGGAATAGGAATAGGAAAAGGATGGGGATGGGGGTAGGGAAGGGAAGTAATGATGTTCAAAGTTTGGTGGTAAGGGAGAGCTCGCTGGGATTTTCTGAAATTGCGTGGGGTGGGTGGTAGAGGGTAGTATGGTAGGTAGGTAGTGGTGTGAGATGTTAAAGTTGAAGTCATCAGGCGGGATTTAAGAGGGAAGTGGAAGGGGGTGGGAGGAGACGGTGTGTTCAAAAGAGCAGGAATGAGGGGTAGGCGATCAAAGATTTGTCTTGGAGAGTAGTGACTGATTAGGGAGAGAAGAGGGAATACCATCAAGGCATCTGTAGGAGGGACAGAAACTTAGAAACTCGATATGTGATGGTTGAAATGTACTTGCGAATCTACTTGTTTCTGGTGCTTGGATATCGTGTTCTGATTATGAGAAGTAGATCTGTGTGAGTTTGAATGATTGGTAGTGGTCATTTGATGTTTTAGAATTGTCCCGCGACCTCAAGCATTAAAGATCAAACTTGTGTTTGTAAATACACATTCGTCGCTGGTATTCTTGGTAGATGATAGAACGTTATGTAATATGCGCTAACCTTTCATTCTTGCCTTGACTTAGATACCCCACCAACTTTACTGACAGGAAAGATCCCCATATTCTCAATCCATCATTTCATAACTACGTTTGTCTTGTCTTTCTATCAAAGATCCAATTATCTAGTCAACTCAAGAGGACATACGCACCATCAATGAACCGTTCATGCATTCAATCTATTTAGTTGATGATATCTCAAGGCAGACATAAAGAATGGCACAATTTAAGATCAACAGGAGATACGGGTAATCACTGAGCCTACAAAGTACCTATCAAGACAGAACGTCTACGACGCCCCGAAGACTCTTCACGACTAACAGCGAAAGAGGTTGGGACGGTATGTCACTCATCTGAAACATTCAAGGATACTTATCTTATCAATTTGGTGGACAATTAGGCATTCATCTTTCACTATATGGTTCATCCTCGAGTGTCTCCTAGAAGCCGGCACGGTGAACCCATTAACGTGGCTATGCTCTGCAGTCCCGGCCAATTTAGTACAAAAGTATGCATTTTAAATCCTCCCTAAGGCTGGGTATATGCAAGATTGGACTCAAGCGAGTATTCCAGCCAATAACCTTTGATATACATATGACACTCGCAATAGGTCATTGAGAGTTAAGGTTAAGTGGCCGAGTTAATCTGTTTGATTTGTGGGAGCGATTTCGAAATTCCCGTATACAGTTTCATGCGCCGCCTTTCTTACACGAAGCGCTTTGATAGATAACTTGCATTTTGTTTACATAAGAATTGGATACGTGGATTGGAGATCGTATTGTTTTGTTTACTTATTACCCAAATGTCCCTAATTTCCATGTAGTGCTTCTCGTTCATTCTCTTCGTTCGTTCTACGCATTCACATTCTCGTCAGACTAGAATTACAACATCAATAACAAACTCTTCATTTCCAATCATGGGTTCCCCAGATTATTCACCCCTTCCTCGAGAATCCTCGGATTCGGATCGATACATCGCCCCAAGTTCAGATGGATATCGAACATCTGAGGAATATTCCCTTCGTACCTCCAAGAGTCGTTCTATCACCATTAACTATGTACTTATTCTCCGACTCATGAACCTCGCTTTCGGATCAGCCGCTTTCGCACTATTCGTTATCAATGGTTATGAGAAATATATTGCTGCTGATGTCTTTCTCATGCTCAGTTTGATCTTTAATACCGTTCGAATCCTACATACATTCGTTTCATCAGTCTTTCATGTCACTGTTGAAATTAGTCGTGGTTCATGGCAGAGTCAATTATCTGTTAGACCAAATGGAGCCAAAGCTACAAATGTTCTGGATTTCTTGTTGGCTAGTGGTTTAGCATTTTCAATGATTGGTGGGATGGTGAACAATTATGAAAATTATCTCGTGGTTGATGGCATTGTAGTCGCCTTTTTCGCTATGTAAGTTTATCAACAATGTTTTTGTCGATATGGTTTTCTGATATTTTCTTTTAGGGCCATACAATACATCATAGCATTACCGATTCAAAACCAAACTTTTATGCTCAAATTTCACTTCCACAGTGAAAGCGAAGAGAATCGAGAGGGATTCTTAGGACGAAATGATGCTCATCGAATTATTCTCAGAGACGACGAAAATAGACAAACCGCTGAGAATTTGGTATAATTTCGACTCATTGACATGACAATCTGGCATGTCTAAGTACTGGTCCACTGGAAAGCTTACATCGGTTATGAAACACAGCTTTGCTGTTATATCTGCGGTTATTGGGGAAGTATTGATTCATAATGAATCGAATTGACAATTTGTTCCGTACTTCTACCTCGTCGTTCTTTAGGTATCGGAGTAGAGGAGGGAATACATATATATACTATCATTTATTTGGCCTTTATTCGTATCTATCTATCTGTCATTCATTTATTCATCTATCCAGTGGTTCATTCGTTCCTCTATCCAGTTGTTTGCTCGTCCATCTACATAACTACGGCGCAGGTCTTGAAATGCCAATCATTTTAACCTGCGCCGTAGGATAAGGGAAATCTCATCTCATTTTGTTATTTGTGTAGAGATTAAATCATCGGATTACCAGAGGCCTCTAATTACCTTGTCTTCATCCACTCCGTATAAAACAATCTCTCCCCCGTTGTCTTCAATAGCTTGCTTCCCCAATCCAATTCTGCTCACCATTCATCATTTTCTTTTTACATTTCCCTTTCTCGCCATCTTGCCCACTGTCTATCTCAGTTAAAATAAAATACAATTCAATCTACCACTATTCATACATTAGATTTTTTTAATCGTAGAATTGAAAAGATTTTCTTTATAACTTTCACACCAAATAGGTAAATTCAACCTGGACATTTATCCCCCTCCATCTCGCTTCGCTGAAACGTTGTCTTCTTCTAGGTACCTAAAGCAAAGCAATGAAGGCACCACGATGCAGGTCCGGCAGAGTGTTTGAGACGTACATGAAATGAGAGTGAAGTCCAATATCAGTAAGTAACGAGTCAATATTTCCGGGTGTTCTCTTTGTTTGTCGATCTACTTTACAAGTTGCTACTAGGCAACCCTTGAAACTTTCCAGTGCCTCATTTTCCGACCTATTCGGACGAAATGGTTATTATGGCTCTAATTAAACCCCTCAGCCTCTTGTTACTTCCATAATATGTCGACAAAAATTATCGTTGGATTGGGTCACCAAGGGGTTACCGTCTAAGCAATATTCCCCTCTGGGTCTCGGCTCAGATTTCTCGACCCCTTTTCTGTACCGACTCCCGAGAAGTGACCGCTATTTCAGGCTAATATATATATTCAAAATACTGCCTATATATATACATCATTCTTATACCCTGAAAAGTTCTGACGAGAAAGATCTGCATCGTGCACGATTCATTTTTCACAGCAATTCCGAAGTCCCGCATATTCGCCTCTCATTCAAGAAATCATGGGTTCGTCCGAGATGTCCCGCCACTCTCATCGCTCCCGTGTCCCCAGTGTCCCGAAATCTACCCATAGCGATGGCCAGAGCCAAGTAACAGTCGCTAGCTTTGACGAAAGGGGGAACAGGTGGAGAAGGCTCATGATTATGCGGACAGTGATCTTTTGACAACTCCATCGTCGAGACCACCATCGACTGCTTCGATTGCTTCTTCGAGGAGATCAGGTACAACGATCAAAACGACGCAGGGTCGTCGTAATGAGCATTTGTATACGATTGATGAGCAGCCGGCGCATGTTTCTAATAATCAAGAGAGACGATTGGTATTGCGATCCTGCGAATTTGAAAAAGACAAATCCAGAGGAGGATCAAGGAGAGCGCCACGCAGCCATAAACCCACTCAAGGATCCACCGTGTCTACACGATCTGGTGATGATGATGGGCGTGTAGTACTTCCAGAGGAAAGCGTCCGCCAAGTTTCTGAAAGACGTTATCACACGCGCAACGCAGCCAGAGGATCTCGCACACATGGTTCTGCTCATAATTATGCTCCTACTTCCCTTTCTAATTTTACGAGGGACAGTAGAAAGGAAAGTGAAGCGGAGAAGGAAAAGAGAAGAGCGAGAAGGGAAGCACCGACTTCTGAGGATCTCAAACACAGAGAGGGGATAGTTCTCTTGCTTCTCATTCTACTGCCAGGCTCCCGCCCCACCGTTCGTCGAGGGACAGTAGACTGGGCACTGACACAAGTGCTAGAACGAGAAGTGTAGCGGACAGTGGAATGAGAAGCGAACACCACAGGCCACGATCGGAAAGAGATTTCGAAGAGTCTTCGCATCCCGGCCGGGAGCTTGTGCATCTCGACGACTATCCCTTTGAGAGTCACGATCCGCGCTCAAGAGGTGTGATTCATAAACACGATTATGATAGGCCACCACCGCCACCGCCACCATCATATGATATAATACCTAGACGTCAACGAAGACCAACAATGATAGCACATGCTCGTAGTAAGCACGAGATGTCCTCATCTCATTCACTTGGACCAGGTGGATCATATCATATCAGTTCATCATCCCAGTCCAGTCCCAGTCACAGTCCACCCAGCACTTTGTATCATATTGATATCAATAAGTATGGTGAGGGTGAAGGTTCGAGGGTTCAACACGATGGCGGGAGTGGGTATGACTGGGTAGGTGGATCGGTAGGTAAGCGGATGATCATTGTTGATCTATACCTACCTCCCCACCTGCCTGCCTGCCTGCCTACTGGGGTCTACAATCAACCAGTCATTCATTCATTCATTCAGTCAGTCAGTACGCGCATCTCATCTCATCGCATCGCATCGCGCCGTACTGCATCTCATCGAAAGATGTGTAAATTTGATTAAGAGTTTGGAGTTTGGAGTTTTCAAAGCATTGGAATATTGATAGATGGCGATTATTACAGATTCAGTTTGAAGGTTTTGAAGTATTGGAATATTAATGATAGATAGACAGCAATTGCTTTGATTTCATAACGATTAATTTTGGCGCAGCATTGATGGATACTTGAAGAGGTTGAAAGTTCTTGACTTACATAACATTCGTTTCTTCAAGCGAAGCGCGAAAGCCTCCACGGCAGTGGCCTAGCGGAGCGACACCCCCAAGGAACAAGAGGTCTCTACACAAATTACAATCACAATCAAACTTCACGGATGGAACGATAAAAATTCATGTGAACAAATGTTCAATATTTGTATTGGCACAATGGTGATGATACAAGGTCTAGCACGCCAGCCACCCTATGATATCGCTAATTTCAAGAGAAATGAATCAACTTATTGATCATCCTCCAACGCCATACTCCAATGTCCATCCAAGGACTTTTCCCCAAATATACTGTTATCCTTCACAGAAGAATTCCCATGCACCCTAACCTTACTAAACTCTCTAAATTCAAACAAATCCTTCCCAGAAGACTGCTCAACATTCATTACCGCGTCCGGTTTTGAAACTGTCGACGTCTGTTCCTGTGCCTGTTCCTTCATTATAACTTTAATAGCCCAAGACAACGTTATTAAAGATTCCAAACTCGAAGACTTACCACCGTAACGAAGATCAAACACCTTTGCGCCGTTCATACAATCGCTAGCTGATTGTTGATTAGACGACAACCGCATTGTCTCCAGCGTCGCATCCAGAAGAGGACGCGCCAAGCTGGGACTGCAGGTTAAGAGTCTCCTCAACAATCGAATCCGAAGAGTGTACTTCGGGCGCAGATGGTGTGATCTCGTCTTGGTGAATGAAGTCCGCGAATAAGGCATCGTTAGTGGCGCCGTTGTTGTCAGTAGCCAAATTATCAAAGTTATTAGTGAAGGCGTCGACGATAGGACCGATCCGTTCATTAAAGAAAGTTTGATCTGCACCAAGGGAATCAGGATATTCGAGATGACTGGTGAAGTCATCATTTGAACCCATAGCGTACTGACCAAAACCCGTGAAATTAGAATATTCCGAGGGGTACTCATCCAATGCCCTTGTGCTTTCGGTTGACACTGCAGGTCGCACAACATTGCAGCAGAATGTTGTGTCATACCGAAAGAACTGGGGTTGAATGAGTCCTCGTCATTTGATTCCATTGAAGGTGGTGGTGGTGAAACGGAAGCTAGATCAACAGTACCAATTGCTGATTGCATGGTATTGTGACTATCTCTAATTGGTGTCATTATTGATCCAGACTCTTCCATTCCGAATAATTGTTTTGTAAAGGCGAGGGGGATTGTCCATCGAAACTTTCTTTTCGACTTGGAGTTGAAGTAACAGATGAAGGAGGAAGGCATGCTGGTGTAATATTTTCGCCAGCCATACCGGTGACTTCTTCTAGCTTTCGACGAACTTCTTCGTATCTAGCTTGCATATCCGCCAATTGTAATTGCAAATCGGTATTTCTACGTTCGATTTGATCTTTTTCTGCTTGAAGATTATCAACTTCTTGTCTCTTTCTTTCCCTTGACGTCTGAGCAGCTCGACGATTTCGAAGAACTCTTTCAACTCGACGTTGTTCCTTTTCATCTTCTGTCTTTGCTCGTTTTCTATTGTGGTAGGTTAGCTAATGTTATTGAATGATGAGTGATAGATGAATTAAATTACCTTGGAGGGAGATTGGTCTTTGGTTCAGGTAATTGTTGACCCCAAGACTTTCTCTTCTTGACTTGTTTCTTTTCTGGGGCAGGTGTACCAGCAAGACTTCCAGTTAAACCCATATCCTCACCCATATCATCCCCAAACATACTGTCACCATCAAAAGATTGTGGAGTCATAGCTTGTAGTGGCTCCATACTTCCTTCGGTGTGAAATAATGAAGGGTATTGTTGACCAGGTATTGAAGTGAATGATTCGGCGATCGATTCTGCTGGTGATAACTCAAATTTTAAGTTTGGAGTCGACATCTTTGGTGAGGTGATTATGTGTGTGGGTTGGTTGTGTGTGAGGTTGACGACGTTGTTGATAATGACGACGTCGATCTTGACCTCGACCTTGACCTCAAACTCAAAGTGGATGATGATGAAACCTAGTTCTTAAGTTCCTGAGTGGATCTCTTGTTGATGTTCTATGATGGAGATGGAGAGGAAAAGGGACAATCAAAATGGGTTTATGCACAGAATGACTATTGTAGATGTAGGATATTGTGGAGGGCGTCAAATGTGGACAAGCCCATAATGAGGAGGACAGATGGCCCACTTGAGATGGAATGTGTGAGTCAATGGATGCCTTGAATGCCTTGAATGCCTTAATTCCAGCAGGTAGACGAATGAGAATGAAGGAATGGAAGGAAAGAATTAAGAGTGAGAAGATGATGGAAGATTCCAAGCAAGGATCGTTGGAGTAAAAAGAAGAGAGCGAGAGAGATTGGATTGCTTGTGTGAGTGAAATGGGAATATTCGAGGTGGGAGATCTGTCCTCTTTATCAATTGAACACGGTGTTCGGTTAAGGGGTTTATTCAAGATGATTCTAGGAATTCAAGGGACCAATCACACCACACCATTCATTTACTTGATGGGAGGGCATGATCCCAGAAAGGAATGTTCTCAGTAAGATCCATGCTTTATCTGAGAACTTGCCGTATTAGGCTTAGGGGGAGGAGTCTCGATGCTTAAGTACGAAGGTAACACGCCAAGTTCACGCCATTTGAATCAATTTAGTAAGATTTAAACATCTTCTCTTTTTACATTGTACATTCTTATTTATGGGTTCCAGATTCCCTTTTCCAACACATCGTAAAGAGTGGGCAGGTGGGCAGGTGGGCGAGTGGGTGAGTGGGCTCAAGCCTTTTACCTTGCCGTACCGTACAGTAGTCCAAAACCAACTCAACACAGCCTCCATGTCACATTCCGATGGTTTATCAGTTTGAAGTTTGAAGTCGAAAGTTATGGATAGAGTTTATGGTTGGGGGTGAGGGTTGAGGGTTGAGGGTTGAGGGTTCACTGGTGGTTCAAAGTTTATGTTCATGATTCATAGTAGATCTCATAGCACCACTGCGCGAGAGTCGGATGGAACTCTTGTAAGAGCTTCCCAGTTACCATTCCTACCTACCTACCACTTACCATACCTGTCCCATATAAACATACGTAAGGATGGCGAATCACCCAGGTAGAAAGAAAGAAATCGAAAGAACCATTGATGTGTGCACCCTTTCATCCTAAATTTAGATCATCATCCAACAAGCAAAGAAGGCTTGGGAAACTTTACTTGGTTACCTACCTATCTATCTATCTACCTACCTACCTACCTACACCTACCTACCCACCTACCTATCTAGGGTACCTATTCTATCTCTTGCCTCTACTTTGGATGACTACCAGGTATTCGCTTGTATGTACTTGGCTTACATAACGTGCTACCTGCCGGAATGCTGGAATAGTATATACAATCATCGCTTCATTATGCGAATCTATTACGAGCACAGAACCTACCATGGTGATGATAATGATAATTATGATGATACTTCCAAAACTCAAGTGGAGCTTCTTTGCCTCCGTTCGTACCTTCGTTCGTACCTTCGTTCGTACTCCCTAGCCACCTAGAGCTGGATACGTATACGTTACTAATAATCATATCAAAAAGTACGACATATGTTCCGTCCTCCACCCAGCCCAGCCCAGCCCAGCCCAGCTCAGAATACACCATTCGTAAAGAGAGATTGAAAAATGAACCCCTTTATTTCCCTTTATTCAAAATCAAAATTCCACCGATTTCTCAATGAATAAATTCCCGAATGTTCCAATCTTCCCATGTCCCTAGAAAATCACTCAAAACCTTCCTCAATAAAGTTTCAACAACAAAAGATGATCCACCTCTAGTTTCTTTAGTATGTTAGAGAAAGACGGTCTTTCATAGATGAGAGAAACCTCCGTAGTTATGATACCTGGATAGATAAACTTTCTCTAATTACCGTATGGGATAAACACCAACATTCCATTTCGCAGTCTACAGATCGTAACAGGTCTTTGTCAATATATCACCACAAAGATTCATGTCAAGTTTCATCAGTGATCAAACCAAACAGGGAAGTGTGATCTTGGGAAATCGCTGATAAAGGAGATTGATTCGTAAACTTTCGACGCGGTTGCCCCTCCTTGTCGATCAGGGGTTTTTGGGAATAAACCGTATGGTAGGTAGGGTATGGGATGGTATGAAATAGATCGGTGAGGGGAGACGTGCGAGGGGGGGAGGGAACGTGGGTATCAAAGCGAAAGGGATAGGATAGATGGAGATGGAGATGGAATTGGAATTGGAATTGGAATTGTTCGAGAACTTTGAATTTTAAACTTGATGTTGGATTGGGATTGGGATTGGGATTTCAAGAATAGGTATGGTTTTATTTTCGAGGATATACCAATTCGAGTAATTGAGAGTTTGTCAAAATGTACAGCATCAACGACTATCACATCCAGGTATCTACTCCCTACTATATCAAACTGTCAGCCCTCAACCTTCTCACTCAGCAATAATTCTACGCCCTCTCAGCACATTTCGAATAAAGGCGTAGGTCATGACAAACCACCTTGCATCCATTACTCCCTCCTATCCCTCCAACAATGCATTCCTTCATCCTTCTCACCATATCCTCACATCAGAAATAAAATCATTCCACGCCTTCACAATACCACCCTCCGCTTTCCTACTTCTCCGTTGTCGGTCATCTAACCTATTGATTCAATATCTGGTGTGGTACTACTACTCAATTGATCACACAATCCGATACCTCCGTAGATAGGTCGTATCAATTATCCGCTCCGTGGGTGACTGACTTGACTTTTGGTCCCACTAGATCAATCAATCGCTCAATGTTACCCAGCTATCTTTCCCTCGGTAGACAGGTAGAACATCTGATGATAATGCATTTGATATTTGACATTTAGCATAATCATCCATCCAAACTATCCCCTTGTGCCCCTTGTGCCCCTCTAAACCAAATCACTCACACGCAGAAATAAACATCACACTACCCCAAATTCCCAGTACCTGACATGCTTGTCAAATGTCAATTACGGCACATCATCCAATCCAGTAGACACGATACGATACTCATCCAACCAATCTCAAGACATCTCTCTCCTCCGGCCCTTTCTCCCTCCGGCCCTTCTCCCCTTTTTCCCCATCTTCACATTCATTATCATTATACACTTCATTATGCAGAAAGTCGGAATTCTCAATGATTCCTCCGATTCTTCACTTCCACCCCAATTGACTTTGCCACTCACATCACATCACTTCGCATCACAAACGGAGATACCTACCTAGTGTGTACACCTGCCTCCTCACACGCATAAGGATAATCCCGCCCCTCTACTGACCCTTCACACACTCCATATACATCCTCGGATCATGTATCCAGAAAAAGAAGTTGGGTGTACCGTACGTACTCCGTCCGGCGCACAATTGTCCTTGCATCGATGTATGTATGTGTGTATGTGTGCAATGTTCCTCAAACCTGCATACATCAATCTCCCTCTGTATTTCCAGAACAAGCCTTGTCTCCAGAGTGGTATTGCCGTGGCGCTGTGGCACCTTGGTGGTATGGATGTGATGTTACGCTGGAGGAAGAAATAGATCCTCCGTACAGAGGAGTATAGGGTACAGTCAGACGCGACAAATATATCTATCTTTGAGCTCAAACGGGAAGTGGGATAAGTTATTCAATCTTGGATTAGTGTACCGACTGTACGAGCAGTGCGAACTATTCTATTCTATTCTATTCATCCCAACACCAACACCAACTTCTAAGCCCTCTGCCATCTATCAGTCACAGTGAACGATAATCGCACCGTGAGTTCCTATCAGAATAAGGTTTGAGTAGAATCAAAGTCAAACATATCAAGAAGATCTAGACCCCTCCCCAAAAACTAACTCTACAAACGCTCCTGCAAACACGGCATGAATCTCCTTGTGACAGTCCAACCCCAAACAAGAACTTGCACTTGCCGCGCCGCCTCTCCATATTTGTTTTTCGCAGTAGAAAATATTGGGGGTTGCAGCGGCGTGGTGGTAACTTTATTGTGGTGTGTGTTTAGTAATTTTAGTAGGTAAGACGCTATTCGGATCATGTGATGATCGTTCGATCACCGATAAACATACACCTTGTAATCCCTATAGAGAATTCTACCGTACATGTGAAACAGATTTTCCTTTTTCAAGCAAGACACACACAGTCGAATGGCTCAGATTGCGCAAGACGATATGATATGATTCTTTTGAAACACTATGGAACAGTTGTGGTGTGGCACGAGATTGATCGATTCTAATTTTGGGGGCTAAATATGTATCCACTGCTATCATTTATGTGTTTATTATTTATTATTTATTTATTGGTTTATTTCCTATATATTTTTATGATTTCACTGTACCCAAGCAAACAAGTCTTCCTTCTTCTTCTTCTTCTTCTTCTCCCTTTACCCCTTTTTTCGAAACACACCCCTCGGACCCCTCCCTCCCCTCCACCCACAATATGCAACGCGAAAGTTTCTCCACATGCCGTGCTCCCCATCTTCCTGTTCCTTGTCTCGGGCTTGCGTGTGAAGGTAAGGGAAGGAAGGGAAGGCAAGGGAATTAAATTGATATTTCACCGCCTACACGGCAATATCCTTCTCTCCCATTCTAATTTCCATCGTCCGTACAAATTACAATATATGTACGAGTGTATTCCCCTCCATCCTTGCACCTTGAGGCTCCAACCAACCGGTACTTCCGCCCCGCTACGGATATCCTTCTCTTCTGGATTCATGATGTGATTTGTGGGTGGGCCTGGAACAGATGCCGAAGCTCGAGAAGATAGAGGGGCGGAAGTTGGAATAACCTTACACCGCCCGGCAGTAGCACACCGCTTCCTTTGCACATTTCGCTTGGTATGTATATTCATTTACGTTGGACTCGAGGTCTTGGTGTACAGTAGGTACTGTGGATGATATGATATGATATGAAATGAAATGATGTATAGTAACTCCACACTGCATCTCTGCCCCTCCTCAAGCCCCTCCAGTCCATCCCAATCCCCTCCCGTCAGAACATACCGGGTGCTAACCCAACCCAACGCAACCCGCTCTCCTTGTAAAAACAAACGGTAAACAAATCCAACCATTCTACATACAATTCAACTTCATCCTCACCGCACCATCTGCATCTGCGTCTATCGCACATACATACATACCAGTACCAACAAAGACTCTAGCGCATCCCATCCCCACAGATGGATGCCATGTGTTTGGCGCTCCAGCTGCGTAGCCGATACGCTCCACTCTTTCTGCGCGGCGACGGGGTGCCAATCCAGGAAGGCGTGGCGGACCACGTCAATTGTCTAGACGCGGCGAGTGTGACATGGCAATCGAGGTGGTTGTTGATGCATATTCATGAACGGGAGGTATGTCTTTGCTGGATGTGATAGGTACCGTGTGTGTGTATTCACTGGTCCGTATGTATGTACGGTAGATCTCGAGTCGTCCAGCGCCCAAGTAGTTTTGTTATTGTCTTGAAACTATCGGGATTTTGAGGAACGCATCGCGCGGTTAGAAGTGGGATCGTTAAAGCGGTTGAGGTTTTACTTTTGCTTCTGAGATGGGCATGATTGGGATGGGTTTAAGATGTGGCTGGGCTAGCTGCGCTGCAGATGCGGAATGTGAGTTCTGAGTGGTGCTTATCTGATTGAAATGCATGGAAAAAAGGTTGAGTGTCTTGAGTCTGGGAGTACTAAAAGTTTACCAGGAGATCTTCTTTTCTTGTTGCTCAATTTTGGCGCTTCTGATGTCTCGAGATTTCGGGCTCTAGTCCGAGTAGATTCAAGAATCAGTGTCCTAGTATTCACCATCAAAAGTCTTCGCGTCATGTGTCGTTTCGATGAGAAATAATCGGTGATTTTGGTCTGGTGCAAAATTCTCGAGGAAGCGCGAATCAGTCTTTTCCAGATGATTCCATGATGGGTAGTGATCCGATTGGATTGATCTTGAATCGTTCTTTTGTTGAGAGAAAGTAGTAGATTCTCATGAGACTTGAATGTACTCTGTGATTCGGAAGTAGGATTCCTCTCGATTGGGAATCCGACTGGTGTACGTTTCTCCGTTTACTGAATGTCAATTGGTTCGTGTGCTGTGCCTACTCTCCGTCTTTGCTTTTATTTATCTTGTGATCGTGGGCTGCTTTACGCAAATTTCTCAACTTGATACTTGGGGGAGTATTGTCGTGTTTTGTCTCAATAGTTGTGCGAAGTTTGAGGGTTGGAAAAGTTGGGGGTGGGGAGTGAAGCGAAGAGGGGTGATTGAGGGGTGCGGGGTACCATTATTCCGGTTTGCTTTTCAATGGATATGTCGTTTATTTACGCTCTTCATGTTCAAATTTCAGTGTAAGAATGAGAAGCTTGACATTATTAACTCGCTAGAATCTTGAGACAACACTTCTAGCTGCGATGTCGCGTGAGTCAGAAGCGGCATGATTTACAAGTCGAAATATATTTGCAGGTAACACAACCCGAGGGAGGTTTGAACGTCCTGAACTTGGTGTTCATAGGAAGTAAAGGGGTCTATCTATACTCACGCACCTTCTATTGTCACAAGATTTTGGTCATTGTTTCGTCTCAACTAACAATTCAAGATTCGTTCTTCCCAGGCACCTAAACATTGCCAGGAACCTCATATGACTTCTTTCACGGGCAAGCATGCAATCAATTGAAGAGTTCACCATGGCAACACCTCACTTGCTATGAAATGCACACAGCTACGCAAAATGAAAACAGAGTCGACAGGGTGCTTATAACCCATACGGCAGGCAGATTGTGTGCTGCCGTATAGAAGGTGATTCATAACGAAAAATCCATCGTGTTATTCAAGTAAACTTACACATGTAAAATTGAGTTCAGCGATCAATTCAGATATTCATAGCTTGTTACTGCAAATCCGAGGAGGAAACGTATCTATCCGGAGGAAGAATGGTTTGAGAACTTACATTGAGTCCTTGTCCATTTCCAAACCGCATCACTCAAGCGAGAGAAGATGTCTTCAAGTGTCATTCTTTGCTGTCTTGCGACTAGCGTCCCAAGGGGACACTCATCCAACCTCCTTTCTCTCTTCCTATCGGCCTTGAACTCTCGCCTACGACTCAACAAAGCCTTTTCCCTTCTTGCGGGCGACATACCAATAAAATCAGAACCAATTATCGAACTTCAAAATATTGAAAAGGATAGTACTACGTCCCCCAAGTACCATATTCGTTATTTTCTACTTACAGACGATCTGGAAAAACACAGACCATACATTGAGATGTATCCAGGTGATAGTTTTGGTGAGCTGGAAGTTCAAGCTGTGGCTCAGTGGAGACAGGAACAAGAGCAGTGGTGGAGCATGGATATTATTACAGATGAACGAGTGATTTGGAGATGTAGCAGTTGTCAATGTTCATATTTTGTTAGAGTATTGAGAGGAAGCGAAGAATGAATATTGAAATGGAGGGAGGAAGACTTGGCAGGAGTATGTACCTATGAATTCAACAATCCATTATCTAGCTCGACTGACACCAATACTTTTACTTCAGTTCACCAGGGACTCATTCCTCTCACCACATCTTTGGCATAAGAAATAATGATATTCTCAGGGCGTCACTTGACGCAACCTCTTTTTTCACAACTACCGTAATGTTGTCACTTGATACTTACAACTCAGCAACTCATTGGGATGGATCTTAACTTAAGCTTCCGTCATGCTGCACTGGTGGTTGATGAACTTGTTCCAAAGAAAGCCCGAGAATCTTGAGATAATGGTATAATTCTTACATGGAGTACATCCAGGAGGACTGTAGCTCGAGTGTATCCGTCCATCGCAAACAGCACATTTTTCTGGTAGAGCGAACAAATAATGATCCTGAGTACACATCGCCAGGAACTACCATGTCCATATATCTCCAAAGCAACAAATTGATATGCGACATTGAATCATGATGAATTTTGTGGTGATATTTGACATGACAATGAAGTGTGGTTCAAAATACCTACCAACCTAGTACCTACAGGGAGTTGAAGTAACTGTAGCGACCCACGATAAGCCCGATAACAGGCTGTCGCGCTAAAATATCAAACAATTGATGAAGCTCTCTTCTAAATATTCATACCTCCATCAACCATCCACAACATAGTATTAAAAGTTTATAATGGGTAAAGGTTCGTCGCAATACCATTCAGATCTGAAATACAAAGGCATACTAACATCGATCTCTCATAGGCACGGATAAACTATACGTGAGCTTTCACCAGTCTTAGACTACGTACCATTGTCAAGTTTTCCCATACGCTAATCTTTACATGGCATTTAGATCACCCATTCCGAATGGTCATCCTCTGATGCATTCTCCGCGAGTAGCGGATCAAATGTTTCCCAAAAAGCTCCCAATGGCTCATTCAAGCGCCTTCCCTTCAACTTTTGTGCGGCCAGTTTACAACCATTCAAACATCCAGTCTGTACAGCCGAAGGTACTATATTCGATGTAGAAGTTATTTCACAATGGCTCGAGAAGCATGGCACAAATCCTATCAATGGAAATCCACTGAGTGCGAAAGATTTGATAAAATTAAACTTTGCGCGGAATGGAGATACTGATGCGCAAGAAAGAGGATCTGGTGGTGCTGGAGGGGATGGTAAAGGAGAAATGGTGGACCCAGTTACCTTCAAAGTCTTTACGGATAACACACACATAGTCGCTATAAGGCATGGTAGCGAGGCCAATGTTTTTGCTTGGGAAACTGTCGAAAGATTAAATATCAAGGCAAAGATGTGGTTGGATCTAGTCGATGATCGAGAATTTGGGAGGTCGGATATCATAACATTACAAGATCCACAAAATATCGAAAGTCGAGATCTTAGCAAGTTCAAATTCTTGAGAGAAGGAGAATCTGTTTTGAGCAAAGAACAAGAGGAAGAAAGAGCGAAGGGTAGCGTCAATATTAATGCATTGGGCAGAGTTGGAGATAAAGTTTTGAGGGCCAAGGAAGCTGTCGAGAAAGCTAGAAGGGAAAGGGAGGCTGGCGGAGATGTTAATCGCGCGAAATCAATGGTTAAACCAGGGTCGACAACTTCTATGGCGAAACCTTCATTATTACAGGAAAAGAAGATGGCATACAATGCAGCACAATATACAACAGGGAGAGCGGCAGCGAGTTTTACAAGTACGGGGTTGACTCCAGAGACCAGTGGAGAAAGAGCAATTCTTACGGATGAAGAATATATGTTGAAGCCGAAACGAGTCAAGATAAAGGGATATGCTAGAATTGAGACGAATTTGGGGTCATTAAATATCGAATTACAAACCGAAACGGCACCTCGCGCGGTATGGAATTTTGTTCAATTGGCCAAAAAAGGTTACTATAATGGTGTATCATTCCATAGGAATATTCGGAATTTTATGATCCAAGGAGGTGATCCAACAGGAACTGGTAAAGGAGGTTCAAGTATTTGGGGAAAGAATTTTCAAGATGAATTCGACGGACCTTTAACTCATGATTCAAGGGGTGTAATGAGTATGGCCAACAAGGGAAAAAACACCAACTCGAGTCAATTCTTCATCACCTACAAAGAAGCTAAACATTTAGATCGCAAACACACCATTTTCGGCCGTGTAGTCGGTGGTATGGATGTACTCTCTAAACTCGAGAAAGTAGAAGTAGACGATAAGAGTCGTCCTACAAAAGATATTGTCATGGAAAATGTGGTGGTCTTCGTTGATCCATTCGAAGAATTCCAAAAACAGAAACAGGAGAAAGATGTTGCGGAGAAAGAAAAAGCGGAAATCGTGAGGCAGGGAGGAACGGAAGATGATAAAACTACATGGACTGGTAAACGGATTAGGGGTGATGGCACGGTGGTGCAAAATGAAGCGACGGGTGGAGTGGGGAAATATCTTAAAGCTGGTGGAACGGATAATAGTGTTGGAGTTGTGGAAGTGGACGAAGAGGAGGCGCCAGTTAAGAAGAAGATAAAGTCGGGGGGATTTGGGAATTTCGATGCTTGGTAATTATGGGAAGCGTGTTGATGTTGATGGTCCATTTGACCCCTGAATTGTACTTCTCGCGTATGGATCTGGGGAAGAACTTCTACAATACAGGAAAATTAAATAAGGAATGTCATGCGTGTTTCTCTTGGCCTAGGCATCTATGTAGATTAGAAAGGAAATACATGGAGTATACGAGCTCTGTCACAAGAATATATCAGTTTAGCAACTGCCAAAAAGCGGAAGCTGCAAAGACTTCACATGTGCAGTTGAATATCAACAAAAAGCAAGTGTGTATTCTATGTCGGGTTTATCTTCATAACGCATCTACCGTAAGTTGTGCGTGGCATTGTATGAGCCAATTTTCCACCCACCCAGCCATATCCCCATCCCCTCCCATGTGTCAAGGGATTGCAAATGAAGAATCATCCTTTAAAATCTTAGATTTAAACGCCCTCGCTGTGTATTATGATTTGAACCCCTGCAAAAACGCCGTCCCACCGTTTTGGTACAATTTCCCCGCCATCCCATCTATCGCTTCATATGTGAGTAATCGTTCAACAAATGTGCCATGTGAGTATTTGTAGTGCGACCACCCTTTCTTGGAGCCTTTCTCTTCTTTTCCTTTGCCTTTGGAGCTACCTTGACACGCTTACTTGGATCTTCACTGGCAGGTTTTTGTCCATTTTCGAGGAGCTTTCGAACAAGATCATCGACGCTTGGAAGTTCCGTTCGGTGCCACATGACTTGGAATTCGGATTCGACAGGATGAATCAAGGTAGGATCGTTGATCCAAATCATTCGTGCATGATTATCCTTCTTTGTTCTCGTAACCAAAATCTTGTACTCCTTTTCTAACTCATTAATCGCATCTTCACAATCTGGCCAACCATCCTTCAAATCCTTAACACTAACACCTTGAGCATCAGGTTTGTTTTGAAGATATGATAATAAAGCTCCCTTGTTACGAACACCAATGATGGGTCGATGTTTGAATGTGCCAGAATCCCAAGCTTGTACCTTCAACTTAGGATCTGCGATCCATTGAACTCGATCATGTCTTCTGAGGATTTGCGCAATGAGTTGTTTCTTACTCTGCTCGACGTGTACCTGACTCAAATATTCTAGAATTTCCTGGAAAGTTTTGGGTTCATCTTTCTTCTTCAAGAATTCGATAACGTAGGTGACTTGTGTGAATGCTTCTGTTCCATAACCGGTGGCAGCGGGTTGAGAGTAAACGACATTCGTGGGTTCTCTCTTACGTTTAGGATCTTTGTTCTCGCTCTTCGATGTATTTGAGGTGTTTGATGGAGCGGGTGATGGTACTGAAACTGGTGCAGTGGGACGCTGCTTGCTTGTAATCTTAGCTGAAGTATTTTGAATACCCTTTGCAAAGGCAGCTTGTTGCTTCTCAAGGAATGAAGACATGATAACGGTTAATGATATTGAACGTATTGAAATTGAAAGTCTTGAATAGATTCGAACACGAAAGACCTTTTTGCGTCTAGGCCTAATAGATGTTGTACTACCGTATAATGATTCTGAGGTCCAGATGACGTCGGTGCTTAAAGATTAGGAAGGCTGATGTCGATTACCAGATGCATGCGACGGGTAAGGACTGGACAATACAGTATGTATTCGAAATCGAGAGGTGTGGAGGGTTCGAGAGGATTTGGCGCAACTTTTGATGAGAAGTGTTGAAATCAGACAAAGAAGTTGCTCAGTGCCTTAAGACTCCGTACTGTACTGTTGATGAGGCTGAGAAATTACATGGGAGTAATTTTTAGCGCATGTCGAACGTACAGGGCCCAAGCGTGCGCTAAAGAATTCCATCCATTCACGTTATTCAACTTTCCTAGGTTTGTACATATTAGTCAGCGCCTTCCCGTCCTGAAAGCAACATGGAAGCTAGCTTTCAAAGACTGATTGATTCTATTCAAGAAACTGACAACACCGCGATTTGATCATCGTAGGTATCTCAATACGGGTTCTTATTAATATATTCATTCATTCCGAGATTTAGTATGGTCATACAATAAATGAAAGGAATTTCATAGATATCAATCTAATATTGGCCACTGGGGTTTCTTTCAGCTTTATCACTTACTTTCATCTACCTTCACTTTCTCAAAGCAACGCGATCAACACAAATTCTCAACCACACATTTCAAATGGTCCTCTACAAAACACAACCACGAATCGTCTGAAGGAACCTTTTCAAGATGGCGACCGCGGTACTTGATGTCGATTATTTGTCGGCGTATTTAAGTGTGCCGCAACAGACCCTTGAGACAGTCGTTGATAATCCTACAGCGGAATTAGTTCGAAGCGTCCTTGAAGCTGTTACCGCAAAGGCACGCGAGCATGATGAATTGGCGGCAGACAAATTACGAGTCGATATCGAGCTTGAAAATGCTGTGAGAAGTTCAGAGACGCGCATTGACGGACTTAGATCAAGTGTGGAAAAGGCGCAGAAAAACGTGGAAGAGTTGAGAACGAAGCTCAATGAGGAGGGTAAGTTGTTTGAATTTTTTTATATTATATGGTGATGCTGATTTATATTTCTTTAGAGAATTCAAGGTCATCTCTTCAAAATGAACTTCAAACCTTGAAATCTACTTCTTCGACGTCGACATCTGAATTAGAAACCTTAAGGTCTCGAATCTCTTCTCTCGAATCCTCGAATCGCGATGCATTAGCTGTCATCGAGTCAAAGACAACCGCTAATGGAGCTCTTGCGCAAGACTTGCAAAAGCAACACCAAAAAGGATTGGAACTTAGTCAACAAATTACAGCCTTACAACAATCCGTTCAAAATGCAAACTCTGCGGCATCCAGCGCTAAATTCCGAGAGCAATCTTTGAAACAAGAAGTCGAATTGGCCAAGCGCAACAACGAATGGTTTGAAAATGAATTGAAGACCAAGAGCGCCGAAGCTTTAAAGTATCGCAAAGAGAAGGGTGCACGAATTGCAGAGTTACAGCGCCTCAATGAAGAATCTACCTCCAATGTTGAGTCTTTGAGACGCACCGAACAAGCTTTACGTACCAGATTGGATGAAGTTCAAAAGAAGGCAGAGGATTCACTTCAAAAGATACAACAACTTCAAGAAGCAGCTGCAAAAACTGAAGATGGTTTCCGCCAGGAATTGGAAAGCGCACGTCGTCTCGCCGAGCTACAAGCTCAACAAACCGAGACACACCGACAAAGATTGAAGGAGGTCGAGGGGGGAGTAGAAAAGATCAAGGATGAAGCTGCCGAGGAGATTGGTAGATGTCAACAAGCAGCTGAGGCAGAGCGACAAGAACGTGAACAGGCGGAGCATCGCATTTCAGAACTTGAAGCCGAGATTGACCGACTTGAAGCCCTTGTATCCTCACAACCTCACCCTGGTTCAGTACCATCAACCCCACAAAGAGGATTAAATGGATCTGTGTTTGGAAGATCTGGTTCACCTGCTCAATTTGGTACACCTGGGTCTATGCGCAGTAAATCAGCTATCACGGCCACTCAAGCTATTGATGAGCTCTACAAAGTCAAGGGTCAATTGGCTACCGAGAAGAGACGAAGTGAACGACTTGCGGCTGAGATGGAGGAAATGATGCAAGGACTTGAAGCCAAACAACCCGAGTTAGAAGAAATGCAAGCCGAGCATGAACGTCTTCAACAGGAGGTAGTGGAGATGTCGAAGTTCGTCGATCAAACAGGCAAGGAACGTGATAGAGCCAAGAAAGATGTCAGGCGGGCAGAAAGTGAAGCTTCTACAGCACAAGCAGAGGTGAACATTCTTCGACAACAACTTAGAGATCTCAGCGCCCAAATCAAGATGCTTCTCTGTGATCTAGATGCGAAAGAAAGAGGGTTGGAAACTTTGAATGCTAGTGAGCGAGCACAAATGGAACGTCTAGCTCGAGGGGAAGTTAGCGAAGATTCATTAGAAGGAATGACTGATACCGATCGATTTATCAGTCAGAGACTTACCGTTTTCCGCAGCATAAGTCAACTACAAGAGAAGAATCAAGAGTTACTCAAGATCACTAGAGAACTTGGACAGAAGATGGAAAGCGAAGAAGCTCAAGCTGCAAAGAATCAAGCTGTTCAAGACCACGAACAAGTACAAACTCTCCAAGCCAAGGTTGAGGACTTGAAGGATGAACTGAGATCTATGATCACTCGTTCCGAAAGTTATATCAAGGAGAGGGATATGTTCCGTCGTATGCTTCAACACCGCGGACAACTACCAGCAAATTCTGATCTCCAATCCATGTTTGGTCAATCAGTGGATGGTAATGGTGTCATGTCAACGATTGAAAATCCAAATCAAAAAGACAATGCTAATTATGCAGCTTTGTTGCGTGAATTGCAAGGTCACTTTGATCAATACCGGGAAGAACAAACTATTGATCGACGCACTCTCAGAGAGCAAACGGAACGACTGTCATCGGAGAAGAGCGCACTTCAAGCAGAGATTTCCAAGGCTAGCAGTCAATTAACTCTTGCCAATGAACGCTACGAAATGTTGCACTCTAACTACACATTGTTGCAGACAGAGAATAGCGAGTTGCAGAAGCGCTCTCAAATTCTTTCCGAGGCTGCTGCCAAGCAAGACTTGAGGACACAGCAAGTGGCTGAGGATTTGATCGAAGCTAAGGGATTGGTGGAGAGCATGCGAAATGAAACCGCCAACCTGAAGGCTGAAAAGAAGCTTTGGAAGGACATCCAGGATCGACTCAGTCAGGATAATGAAAATCTTGCCAACGAACGCAGTAGACTCAATACACTTATTGCCAATCAACAGACTCTTCAAAATGAACGCGAATTATCCGAGTCTGAAACTAGAAGAAGACTGCAGACTCAAGTCGAGTCTTTGGAATCGGAATTGAATTCCACGAAGCGAAAGCTTAATGATGAAGTTGAAGAGAGTAAGAAAGCACAATTGAGAAAGGAGTATGATGCCCAGCAAAATCAAAAGAGGATTGATGAGCTTGCCACCAGTCTCAGTCAGGCAAGAGAGGAACTTGTTGCAGCACAGACATCACGCGATCATCTCCAGGCTCGAGTAGATGAATTACACATCGAACTCAAGAGTGCAGAGGAACGTGTTGAGTTATTACAACCAAGACCTACACCACGACCAGGAACCAATACTCAAGAGACAGCTGGACAAGACACAAGCGCCGAAGATGAATCTCTAAGTCGCGAACAAGAGTTGGGAATTGAGCTTTCAGAATTGAAGAGAGATTTGGAACTAGCAAAATCGGAGCTTGAGAATGCAAAGCATCAGGCGGAACAATTCAAGTCTATCAGTCAATCATCCGAGGAGGAGCTACAAAGTCTTAATGCTACATTGGATGAGGCTCGCGAGGAGATGGATAAGATTATCGAGGAGAAAGATGCAAAGATTCGCGAACTTGAGCAACGAGCTGAAGATATTTCCACTGAGCTCACTAATTCGAACAATGAGTTGACAGCTCTCCGAAATCAACAAGGTGAAGTTGCTAGGCAAGCCGAAGAAGAGAAGTCAAGACTTGAGGCAGAGATCTTACGCTTGAAGGATGAGCAAGAGAAGGACTCTGCAGCCGCAAAATTTCATCAAGAAGACCTTCGCGCACAAGCAGCCATCGCCACCAAAGCTCAACAAGATTATGAATATGAACTTGTCAAGCATGCTGAAGCTGCTAAACACCTTCAAACTCTACGCGTTGAATACAATCAATTGAAATCAGAGTCGGCAACATTGAAGGCGGAGGCTGAGTCTGCCAAGGTCACTCTGAGCCAAAGCGAAGCATCTTGGGAGGAACGACGTGAACAACTCGAACGAGAGATGGTTGAGTTGAAGACTAGGCGAGACGATGTCAATGCACAGAACAAACTTCTCCACCAACAGTTAGATAATGTTTCTTCACAAATCGTTGCTTTACAAGAATCCCGCTCCAATGCCCCTGGTGCATCGGAAGCTGGATCGCCAACCACGGAAGGAACAACTGATCGTACTTTAGAAGGTTTGCGTGAGTTGAATACTTATTTGAGACGCGAAAAAGAGATTGGCGAGGTTCAATATGACATCAAGATTCAAGAAGCCAAACGTCTACAACAGCAACTCGAATACACTCAAGCTCAACTTGACGAAGCCAGACTGAAACTAGATCAAGAGCGACGTTCTCATGCTGATGGCGGTAAAACCTCCATTGCACACAAGGATCTCATGGACAAACTCAATGAGCTCAATCTTTTCCGCGAAAGTAGTATTACCTTGCGTAATGAGGCCCGCCAAGCTCAATCTCAACTTGCGGATAAAACCAAACGCGTTGAAGAACTCTTGGCACAAATTCAACCATTAGAGACAAAGGTTCGTGAATTGGAACATGGTAAAGAAACGATGGAGGGTGAAATGCATCTATTGCAGGAAGATCGCGATCGTTGGCAAAAACGCAACCAAGATATACTTTCCAAGTACAATCGAATCGACCCTGCTGAGATGGAACAAATGAAGGAGACTATTGAGACTTTAAGAAGTGAGAGAGACGCACTATTGGAGGAACAGCAGCCATTGCAGGAGAAAGTACAGACTTTGGAGAGTACTATGGAGAATGACAGAGCACAATGGCAAAATACCCGTCAAAAGTTGATTGAGCAAGCCAAGGAGAGGAATCGCACTCTAACGAAAGATAAGAATGATCGAGCTGCAGAAAGAGATGTCGCCATTTCTGAGAGGGATTCCCTTCAAGAACAGCTCACTTCTCTACAAGAGCAACTTCAAACTGCTGTGGAAGAAAAGGAAGCAGCAGAAGCTAAACTTGCGGAAGTGGAACAAGAATTGAATGAAGTTAAAACTCAACGTGATCAAGCATTGGCTAATGCTGTTCAATCTGTTGCTTCGCCCAAGACCCCTTCTGCACCTCCAGCAACGAATGGATCGGAAAGTAACGAAGCTGTCAATGCACAACTTGTTGAACTTCGTAATCAACGTGATCAAGCAATCTTGGAGAAGCAAGCTCTCGAGGAACAAATCACAGAACTTAAGCAACAACTCGAAGCTGCTAATTCCGAGAGGGATAATGCCATTGCTGACGCCGCTGAAGCACGATCACAGCAAAAGGCTCAACAACCCGATGCCCAAATGGATGATGGTGCTGATGAGGGACAGATTGATGAAAATCAAAATGGTATCTCAGAGGAAGAGAGAAAGGCATTGGAGGCACGTATAGCTGTCGCTGAAGCTATGGCCAAGGAACGTGATGAGAAGGCAAAGGAAATTGAAGAATCTATGGAAGCTACACTCAAGCAACGTTCTGACAAGATGAAGGCAGCTTTGAATAAAAAACTTGGTGAATCCAAGGAAGCTCTTAGAGTACAACTCGAGTCTGATTTCAAGTTAAAACTTGAGCAAGAGAAACAAATTTGGCTTGCAGAGAACAAAACTGCTGATTCATCAGTTCCACCACCTACCCCATCTGCTCCCAAGGTAGAAGAAAATATCGTTCCAGCGACACCTGCTACTCCAAGTAAAGCTGCTGCACCATCGGCTGATGGTTCAGATCTTTCGGATGATCAAGTTCGACATCTTTTATCAACAAATCCAACAATCAAGAGTATTCTTGCCAATAATTTGAAGAAGCTACTTGAGAAAGAAACTCAGAAACTCAAATCGGAGCAAGATAAATTGGTTACTGAGAAACTTGCCGAAGAAAGGAAGAAGGCCGAAGCTACTTTGTCTGAAGCTCAAGCAAAGGCCGAAACCAGTCAAGCACAGGCTGTTTTAATGGCAGAGAAGAAGTCATCATTGAAGCTCAACATGTTGGATAACAGAGTGAAAAATGCAACTGCAAAAATCACAGTGGTTGAAAAAGCTGCGACGGACACTCCTGAAAAGCCGGTCGGCGAGGTGTGGGAGGTTGCGAAAAATGCTAAACCACCTCCACCAACACCAACGCCAGCTGCTACAGCGGCTACAACCGCTTTACCAAGCCATCCGATTTCAGCAGCTCTACCAGCAGCGGCAAATACCACACCAGCTGCTGTACCCCCCACTAACGTAACCGGAACCCAATCCAATAGTGCGCCGGTAGAAGCTACCAAGATTGAAGAGGCTGAGCCCCCAAAGAGCGGTATTCCTTCTGGCCCACGTCCAATAACCCCATCCACCAATGGTGCTTCTTCACTGCCAGTCAGTAATATCCCATCTGTAAGTAACACCTCTGATTATTTAAACCTTTCACTTCTAATGCTCATGAATTATAGGCCCCTCAAGCAGGAAATCAATCACGATTACCACAAATGCGTGGCGGTAATCAAAATCGTGGAGGTGGAAATATAGGTGCAGGTGGTCGTGGAAGTATTTATCAACCACGTGGAGGAGCCGCTGGTAGAGGAAGGGGTAATCCTACGGGAAGGGGAGGAATGAATGCAGCAGCTCAAAATTTTAGTCCAAATGCTCAGCCTGGACAGAAGAGACCTGTACCAGAAGGTGGTCAACAAGGAAATGGTGGAAAACGTCCTAGGGGGGAGGAGGAAGTAATTAGTGATTGGCAAAAGTTGAGCTATATTTGCTTGTATTATATTTCAGAGTTGCATAGCCATTGCTTGGCCGTTTTCTTTTCCTTTTTTAAAGAGTGAGGGATTTTTTTAGGAGTTACGGAAATCATGTATGAAGAATAGTAGCATAGCTATCCCTATGATGAGTATTGAGGCAAACGAATATCAGGAGTATAAGAGAAATCAAAAGGGTATCATTGATATTTAGATAGATTGCTAGGAACAAGCCTTCTAAGCACATCTACATGTCGACCAATCATCTTCATCTTGAGACCTTCCACACCACTTTTATCTATTCTACGTAATCCATTTCCATATATCACTGTATAATCTGGAATAACCTCATCTTCTTCAACCTCGCACATTGGTCCAATCTTGCAATGCTAAGTAAAGTATATCATTAGTATGTCATGGTAACATTTTTACTTGCGAAATCCATACCTTTCCTATGACGGCCCCTCTTCCCACCTTTGCATTGATCTCAATAAGAGTTCCTTGTCCCACGAATTTTGCTTCGACAATAGCTCCAGTCTCTACGATAACACCATTCTCCAATGTGACACCTTGAGCTTGTTCTTCGGATGGAAAATTCAACATGCCAATTGAACTACGTTCACCAATAACACATTGTGTACCGATTGTAATGGGAGCAAAACTGCTATTCAATTTTGTCCGTGGATGAAGAATGGTATGACCTCGGATGGATATGAGGTTTGTGCCAATGAGAGAGGCATGGTCTGCGATGGTGATATTGTTTGAGAATGAAATCGGAGGTTTAGGAGGTGGAGGGAGCATGGAAGCTCGTTTGGCGGAGGACATGATTGATGATAGGCGGTGTCAAGGCTTGAAATGTAGAATGTAGGTCTTTGGCAAGGTAGGTACTGGTAAATACCGGCCAGTACTGGCCAATAATTTGTTGTGTTGATAAACCCGAACACGAATTCGAAACCTGTGGAGGTGGTTGATGTATCTGCTAGAGGTCAAGAGAAATTGTTGTAAGTAAATTTTGTACTTGATTGTATAGCAAAGCGTCAGGTATTGTTGAATGGGCAAAACATATCAAATTTTGCCGCTTATTTCTATAAAATCTGTGAATATTCATCAATCTCAAAAATACCCAAGTATATTCAGATGATAACTCAAAGAATGAGAAGTTTCAGACAATAATGCAGAATACCACCTGTTTCATATGAGTAGCACAGTAGTAAATGGGTAGTTGAGATGGAATACATATAAATTTTAAGTTCCAGATTCAGACTTACTAACGGAAGTTCTCGGCTATCGCCACCACTTTGTAGCTTTGTCATTTCAACCAATCAAACATTCATGATTTCTATGATGACTTGAACTATTCGGAAATATTTACAACCTCAACTCCCCCCCAATCCGATCACTCTCCACTCACAACAACGCTCAATTGAGCACAAAATACATATCAAAATGCTTTCGCGAAATGCGCCTTCTGCAAAGGCAGCCTCTACACTTTCAACCCGAATCCTATCTACTTCTACAACAACAGCACGATTAACACCTTCGATTTCTTCGATACAACAATCTAGAGGACTTGCCACAGTCGCAGATACACCACCTCCACCAAAGAAGACACAATGGGGTGGATTAAGAGATCAAGATAGAATCTTTCAAAACTTATATGGGCATCACGGAGCGGATCTTGCGAGTGCGAAAAAATATGGTGATTGGCACAGAACGAAGGATATTCTCGCAAAGGGTCATGATTGGGTATGTTGGAAAGGTTTGCAACTATAATGTGGGATAGATGTTGACATCCGAAATAGATCATCTCCGAAATCAAGGCTTCTGGTTTGAGAGGTCGTGGTGGTGCTGGATTTCCTTCTGGTATGAAATGGGTAGGTTTGATGTTTCATAAAGCAAATGGATGAAGCTAAACTATGATAGTCATTCATGAACTTCAAAGGATGGGAAAACGACAACAAACCAAGGTATCTCGTCGTAAACGCAGATGAAGGAGAACCCGGAACTTGCAAAGACAGAGAAATTATGCGAAAGGATCCTCACAAACTTATCGAAGGATGTTTAGTTGCAGGAAGAGCAATGAACTGTACGGCCGCATATATCTATATTCGTGGAGAATTTTATCACGAAGCTACTGTTTTACAACGTGCGATTCAAGAAGCATACAAAGATGGATTAATCGGAAAGAATGCTTGCGGTAGTGGATATGATTTCGATGTCTATGTTCATCGTGGAATGGGAGCTTACGTTTGTGGTGAGGAAACATCTTTGATTGAATCACTCGAAGGTAAACCAGGAAAGCCTCGTCTTAAGCCACCTTTCCCTGCTGCTGTCGGTCTTTTCGGATGTCCCTCAACCGTGGCAAATGTCGAAACTATTGCTGTTGCACCAACAATTTGTCGAAGAGGTGGAGATTGGTTCGCTTCCTTTGGTAGAGAAAGAAATGCCGGTACAAAACTCTTCTGTATCTCTGGTCATGTTAACAACCCATGTACCGTTGAAGAAGAGATGAGTATTCCTCTTAGAGAACTCATTGATAAACATTGTGGTGGTGTTCGTGGAGGTTGGGATAACCTTAAAGCTGTCATTCCTGGAGGATCATCTACACCAATTTTACCAAAGGATGTTTGTGATGATCAATTGATGGATTTTGATGCACTGAAGGATAGTCAATCTGGTCTCGGAACAGCAGCAGTCATTGTTATGGATAAGAGTACTGATGTCGTACGTGCCATCTCAAGATTGAGTCATTTCTATAGACATGAATCTTGTGGTCAATGTACACCATGCAGAGAAGGTAGCAAGTGGACTGAACAAATCATGAAAAGATTCGAAAAGGGTCAAGGTAGAGTTCGTGAGATTGATATGTTACAAGAACTTACAAAACAAGTCGAGGGTCATACTATTTGTGGTATGTATATCTTTTTCTTTTATGATGAATCTGACTGACGAATATCAATAGCTCTCGGAGAAGCTTTTGCTTGGCCCATTCAAGGTCTTATTAGACATTTCAGACCAGAATTGGAGGCAAGAATGAAGGATTATGCAGAGAAGAATGGAGGTTCAGCATTGGCTGGTGGTTGGGACAATAATGCATTGCAACAAGGTAAACTTATCTCACCTGGGCAATAAATTAGGGAGTGAAGCGGAGCATGGATTGGGAAGTGAATGGAATGATCGATTGTTCATAGGGGGGATGTAAATGTATTTATTGATATCAAGCATGGGTGCTTTTTCTCAATTGGAAGCCAATATTTTAGTTCACTTGATATTTTGAGAGGTGATAGATTTAATAATGTGACATGAACAACTTTATGTATGTGAATCATGAGGATTAGAATCAAAGTTATATTCATACGGTAGAGAATATTGGCATTTCCATAATACATAGCAAATCACAGACACCGAGACATCCTTCAGGGGATACGATTAGGATGTTCCTAGCTAAGCGATCTTGAGTGCCACCTCACTTTTTTACTCCACAAAGAACTTTTCCATGCAACTCGGGTCGGGCATAAAACGTTTGTCATTCATTAAGCTCGAACTTCGTCATTGAGGTTTTTTCAAATGATATAAGTACGGTACGGTCTTTAATATTTTGGACTTTCGCATACTGTTTCTTGAATATACGGGAAAAGATTTTTGTGGTCAAGAAGATATAAGGGTACTAGTCTCGGCTCGATTCGAAATTACTTTATTCTTACGATAATACCACTTGGGTGTAGGTGCCGTGAACTATTATAACTTGACACGGTCCTGTGAAGAAAAAAGACAGACAATGGGCATTTTAAAACATGCAGTGGATTTTGCTTCGGATGCTGGTATGGTTTTTATTCTTTCCCGCTTCCCTTTATTACTCTGTACTCACGTGCTGTATCCTCCCATCCAATACACAAAAATTGTTTACTAATTTTGTACCCAATAAAAAGCCGGTCTAGAAAAAACTCTAAGGTTGATACAAGCTTTGTGTCAGATATGTGCATTTTATCCGGCGGTTTTGGGGTGGGTGTTGTTGGGGCTGGGGATTGGGATGGGGAGAGGAGGGGAGGGGGGTGTAGATGGTAAGGTGCAAGTGCAAGTTGTGGAGAAGTTGTGGAAGGCGAGGAGGGAGCTTGCTGTTGGTATGTTTTGTTTCTTAGTTGATGGAGAGGGAGGGGGAAGATGAGGGCATGACAGCATCAGGGGATGAGGGGAGGAGTGGACGGAGATAGTTTGGGATGACGAAATGGGATATTCGTACTAGTGCACGAGGCTCCCACCCAATTTGTGCCTGACTCCGGAGTTCAAACCCAAGAACCATAGTTCGAGGGTTAGATCAAGAGGAGATTTCGTTCACCATATCCTCAGTCCTCATCTCAAAAACGGGTTCGAAGAGCGAAACAATCACCAAAGGCACGAATAAGAAAGAAAAGCCTAAGCTAATATTTACAAAGGACGTCGCTATATGCGTTTCTTCCGTTTCATCAAAAATTTCTCAAAAGCATGGGATAGTTTGTTGAATGAAGATGGGATGAGAATGTTGATTAATGTGGGCAAATCGGGGTTTATGGGTGCTTATTTGGGATGTGAGTTTTTATTTTCTTTGCTGTTCTCATCCGCTTCTACATCACTATGCATTCACGCTCTCATACTTCAGAGCTCCTACACTCCAACGCTTAGGCGCTCCTGTCCTCCTTGATTTTCGCATCTCTAAAACTCCGCACTCCTGCCCTTCGACATCCCAACGCTCCTAGTCTTTTACACTTTTACACTCCTGCCTCTCTGCTTCTATTCCCCTCCTTTCCTGCTTTTCGCTCCCGCTCTTTTGAAATTTGACTGACCAAGACCTACTCAAATAGTGGAAAGTCTCACCATCGTAAGTACCAGCTACCCAACTACCTACCCAGTATTTTCCTTACCAACCCCTTAGGAGAGAACAGGATCAGAGAAGGCACGTAAGAAAAATTACTAATCCCAATTCATAAAACAGTTAGATATTATGGGTGTATGCGACACCCCTTGGTCCTCAACATGTGCTCTTGAAGGTAATAAATTTTGGTTCTACTCGCTGAGTATATCGATATTTGGAGGGCTATGGGATCTTTACCATCTGCTCGTCAATAGCAATACGACTACAAAGTCCAACCCATCGGATAGTTCACATGATTCGGATCTAGCAACAAAACCAATCGACAAAACACATGTTATCGCGGAACATCCAGGGAAGAATAACAAAAAGGGAAAATTCAAGACTGAAATATTTCTCAAAATTATTGAGAATGCAGCCGATCTCTTTCAACCTGGAGCGGGAACTGGGTGGATCGTTAGTGATAGGGGTATTGTAGGTGTGATGACTGTTATTAGTACAGTACTTAGCTCAAGGGATATTTGGAGGAGAGTTGGGGGTCGGGAAGGGAAAAGGGAAGGGGAGAACGGAGAAAAATTAGAGCGGAGGGAGTGAAAATAAGAGGGAGAAGAGAAATGAGAGATAAAGGACGAAAACTCGGGTTCTTTTATATGTATATGAATATTCATAAGGTATCACAGGCAAACTGGACGATAGACCAGAAATGACAAGATTACCATCTCTCTAAAGACATCTATGTAGGGGGGCTGATGTGAGGGTATGAATGGGCAGAATGGTTAGGATGGATGGTCCGTGCGGTCTAAGCAAATGTACGAACAGCTATCCGCGAACTTGAAGGAGTTCAAGTCAATGGAGCATGGTTTGATCATTCTACTCATTCTCTAGGATTAGAAAACTCCTGAGGTATTAAAGTATTACTGCAACATGACAGTCAGAGAATTAGTGACATCTTGAATGGGAGAAAAGAGGGTATGAATTTGAAATAATATATTATATAGTTAGGTAGATATATGTCAAGCAAGTACTTTCATGATCCTAATATAAATCTTCATTTCTAATAGAATAAAAAGGCGGTAAACACATAAAGCGCTAAGGAATTTCCTCACACAAGACACAGAGTTTGTAAAAGTATCTTGAACCTTCTTGCAATCCATCAAACAATCAATCCTGTCACCACCGCCGCCACCGCCGCCATTCTTCAAGATGGAAGACGGCCCTATAGATACTGCGCTTTTGTTCAAGCAGATTAAAGAAAAAGTTACAAGAGATGGTGACGACCAAGGAGAAGTCACCGAAGAGCTTTTCGAAAGTGAGCTCAAGGTTATTCGAAAGAGATTAAGACTCAAGAAGCCAGAAGATACTCCTTTGGAGTATGAGATTAGAACTGCAAATTCGATTTGCGCTTACTTCTGTATGTCATATTCAATGTATTCTTCTCTTGAATAATTAACTAATTTTTCAACAGGGCATGAGAATGGGATCAAGAAGGCGTTTGAGCTCTTCCCTGATGCATTCGAGTCCAGATCGAGATCGAAGGCTCCAGAAGCCAAGATTGAGAAGGTTGAGAGACCTGTCGTGGCATCACCACCACCAAGCACATCTACTACCATGATTGCTGGTATCCCATTGCTAGATTGGTTGGTGCTTAAGAAAGAAGATCCAGAAACTGCCAAGGAGTTGATGGAATGTTGGAAGGCTGAGCAAGCGGAGAAAAGGGCCGTAGCTTTGGCAGAGAAAGAGGCTGAAGAGTCAGAGACGAAGAAAGAAGCCGGAGAAGCAGAAGCCAAGGCAAACAAAGAGGCCGAGGAGGCAAAGGCCAAGTCAAAGTCGACGTCGAAGTCGAATTCTACCGCCAAGGAAGAGGGTTCGGACACAAATGTTGATGTCTCGCGCTTAGTCGACAACAGAGCCACCTCAGCGTATGCGCCAGGTGGAGCATGGAGAAATAGATTGCAGCCTTCTCAAGATAATAGAGGTTCTAAATCGCAAGGTTCGAATCAGAAAAATAAAGGCCCAAACCCTCAAGATCAAGATGAGAAAGTGAGCAAGCAAGTCGAATTAACTCTTCCGCTTCGCTCAGAAATGCACCCGATGATGTATGTCGCTGTCAACTCTCAGCCTGGTCAGGTCTCCAAGATGTTTGTTGGACCGAAGGGAGAGTATGTCCATGAATTAGAGAATTACTTCAAGATTAATATTGTAAAGGATTGGAGAAAGAATGGGAAGTTCTCGGTGCTTCTCATTCCACAACCCTGGAAGAAATAAAAAAATTGGGACCTTGTCTCAGCGGAGGATAAGCGAGCTCTTAACGCAGCTTGCCAATTTTTGGAGCTTTAGACTAAATTGAAGAATCGTCCCGAGACGAGAACAGCTTTGGAGTTTCTCAACATTCTGTTGAAAGATCCGGAGCAAGTACCCCAAGATGGCCCTTTGAAGGAATTCCTTCAGAAGACCAAGAGAATTTGAGTAGCCCGAATCATGCTTCGAATTTTTTGAAAAATTCTGGTGGCAATGCTGGTTGAGCGGGATTTTCTAGCAGTGGCCCAATGCCAGGTGGAGGACTTCCCTTGACCGATGTATAGGGAGTTCAGAGTCGACTTGAGCCATTGCGCAGTGTTGGCGATAACCTCGGAACTTCAGATGTTGAATTACAGAGCATAATCGATATTGGAAGTACTCTTGGCACGCCAACGAGGCCACGGAAGAAGAGATGCTAGATCCCAATGGATCTCTGCAGAATGAATCTGAAGCTCGTGACAACTAGATCATTGGCGTAATCAGAAAGACGCCTTTGTCAAGGAGAGAAAGACAATCTCTACTGTTTACAAGGGGAGTGTTTGTGTCAATGCAGTAACATTTGGTGATCCAAATCCATTTGGTTTACTTGCAAAGAAGGAATCGAAGGAAGAATTGAAGAAGGAAGGTCCTTCATCTCCTGCTGAAGCAGTGAGTGAAGAGACACTAAAGATTATGACTGAGGGGGATGGAGATGCTGGTAGCGACACCTCGGTAGACTCGGTAGATTGAGTCAAGAATATGAGGCGATGTGAAGGGAAGTGCGGAGTAGGGAAGGAATGAGGGTGGATGAAGGTTTATGAACTCTTGAGAGTTGATTGAGTGATTTCTGAAGGAACACAATACCTCCTGAAGGAGAAGATTATCTTACGAAAACTCTTGAGAGTTGGATCAGTGATTCCTTGAGGAACACGAAAAGATGACTTGATTTTTGAGCATAGTACATCGCATTTGGTAATTATAGTTATAGATAATGATACTTGGCAACAACGCCTAATGAATTGCTGACTGTTGTAATCTACAGATGTAACGTCATGGTGTTGTGAATCGGCGGTGAATTTATGTGTGATATCTTGAGAATCCCAAATCACTATCTAGACAGCTGATATACTTCTGCGGCAAAGAAAGATCAAATGTGACAGCTTCGTCAATCCCCATGTCATGAGGTTACTCAACCGGAAACCCCTAAGATATTCCATATCCCGACTGGGGATTTCTCGTGACGTTGCAGAAATGAGTAAATTGAAAGTGTCTTTATGAGCAATTGCAGAGTACTCTCTGGACCTAGACAAAGGCGGTGATTCACAATGCAAGTGCTGGGCAGTGATCCCCAAAGAAGTAACAAGCGAGCGTCAAAATACCTTCCGTGCCAACTTGAGGGTGGAGACATGCATATTACTCTTACCAAAGTTGGGCTTGTACTTTTGGAATTTAGATTACTAGCCAAGATCTCCACGCCATACTACTGAGCTTAAAAGTCTTGACCAACTCTATTTGCATCAATCCAGCCCTTGCCGTCTCAGTGGCATTCCATTGTGTAAGCAGCACCAACACATAATTGTCATAATTTTAAAGAAGAGATACTCTCCAAATGCCCATGAATGGATGTCGAATGAATAGGCAGTTGTTGATCGACTAACAAAGCCATTCAAATCATGGGACTAAACGTGGTAAGAGATGATGTTGAAATTCGGTCCCGTGGTGCTGACGCTATTATGTAAGCCGTCAAACATCGATTGGCGGGGCGGGGTGAAGGGGTGCACGCGTACATCCACCTCATCCCTCAAACCTCACATTTTGCCCCACTCTATCTTCTTCTTCAAAAAGCTATATGAAAGTACTATAACTTCTAGGATGCACCCTCATAATTTATTCAGTATCATCTGTGAAAGTTGACGGATGCTATGATATGGAAGAATGGGTGCAATGTCGGACCACAGTTCCACTCCGTCTATCTAGCCTTTTTTCCGTCTGCTACTACCACAAATAAACACGACCACAGCTTTAAAAAAGTACTGAGATGCTTACTCGTTACTTTGGTGCTATTCACAAGGCAACTAGAAGCGTGGATACGAGGGGTGGCTGAACACCCTTTACAATGCATGATAGGCTGTTACCTTGGAGATATCATTCTTCAAGATCATTTTCCTGTTCCTAGAAGCCAGGTGTCTAGAGTCCAGTTTCCGCTCTTTAGTGGACAGAGCAAAACCGTGTTGGCTCCCCGTTCTTTGGTCCTCGACTCTTAATTGCTGCTGCTCACTCTCCTCTGGTTAGCACTCTACCTGGGTCATCTTCAGTAAGCATTAGCAGGAGCAGCGACGCCTTTGATCTCCTTACGCGATTTCAACCGTACTGCTTGTCTTGCGACCAGCAATCGTTCCTGACCGCCTCATTCGTTATCGACCCAAATGCTACCAGCAACGATAGACCCTTTGCCATTATCCCAGAGGTATTGAGCCCCTTCGATCACCGGGCAATTGATGGGATTGATAGAGCGGCGGCTAAGGGTTTCTTCGGTAGCCACCTATGGCTGGGTGTACCGTCATACATCAACTAAAGTTCTTCGCCATACTCTTTGCGTCAGTGCCAGAACCACACGTCAATAACTATGACGGTGGGCTCGCAATAGGTAGCCGACTTGATACCTCTCCAATCCCTCTCTCAGATAATATTAAGCTTTTTATCAATAGTGTCAGCAAAAGAGCCCCGACAAATTCAAGAGCTGCGAAATTTCCATTATTTTTCGACTGTCAATCGCTCTCAAAAGCTTCGTCGACTCGATGTGTAACGTACGAGCCTTTATGCGATGTACCTATTACCCAGGTCCCGTCAGACCATAGTATTTGATTCCATTGTTCCAGAGCCAATTAAAGTGCCCGAAGACGAAAGCAAACCGCACCGCGTTGTGTTTGATGGTTGATGGGGGCTTACGACATGTCAAATATCGCTTGAAACCATGACAGCGTAATTTGACCGCATACAATAATGGTTGACTTTGGCCGTCGCAACATTCTTGGGATGATTTGAACCGTGGCGTAAAACGGTGCGATTTCGATCTGGTTACAAGATGAACTAGCTGCTGCCCCTGTTCTGGCGTCATCGCCATAGCTATCCAGAAAGCGTTGGTATATCTGCCGTTGCGGGGTATGGCCGATTTGGGTTCAAGAAAATCCAGTGCTTAGTTCTATCTCGTCCGGCGTTTTTCGGACTCCGTGATAGAGCTTACGAATCTGTACGCGCACTGCAATGTTTTAGAATCATGCAGTATTATCGGGAGCCCTTGGAATAGCCGTGGATCATTAAAAGCACTAGCCATTTCTGACAACCTTTCGTCACCTACTACCAAGCCCCTTTATTGCTGTTATCATCAAGTACTTATTTTCTTTTTGTCTGTTACAGCATTTTAAGTAATTACATAGGCTTTCATACCCTATATTGTAAGGCCTTCATGGCGTACAAAGGCTCAAGTGAACTTTATCAGAAATTGGGGGTTTTTTGGCCAATTTTGAATAATCAATCCAATCAATTAGTTGTTCAAAAGCCTCTACATTTAAGCTTATACTTCCTAAAGATTCAGAAAAAATAAACTTTTTAGGTTCTCAGGCTATAATAGTAGCGACGAATGAACGAGGGATCATCATATGCATTCTTGATTAAGCTTAGATCATATGGGCTATCTTGGCGTTCTCGGTGTTTGACTAAAGATTGCAGTGCCGGTGTCTCCACCGACTGCGGTACTTGTTCTTCTAACCTGCCTATTTAATACCTTAATTTCATGAAAACAATTATGAGCATCATGGACGCAGTGGGGTGGACGCGTATGCTATCCAATCACGAATGGCAGCGCATACCAAAGAATTTGACATAGTCATAAGGCTTGGCGTTTTTCGTCACCCGTCCACATCCGTCCACGCTGTCCACGCATGCCCATACTCGTCCACACTCATCCACACTCGTACCAGCTAGTGGCAGTTCCTACGGACGCTACATGCCACTAGAAGTCTTGTTTCAAGTCGCAAAGTGTTTGCTGGGTGCAGGTCTGGTTGATAATTCAGATGGTCGTTGCCAGACATTGATCAAGAACTATATGGCCGATTATGTAGAAGAGCTCTGATATCAACCATACATTGACCGTGGCAATTGGTCTTGATAGGATGATCTGGTATTATAGCTACTACTCGCCAGGACATGATAGTGCATGGTAGGGATATGCTCGGCGAGAGGCTCCAGGCGATACTACCCTCCCCTTTATGATTGTCATTCAGAGGGTCCCGTCCACTCTAAGATGAGGCGTATAATCTAAGTAGCTGAAGCTTTGATATACTGGTCTTTTAGCAAACCCATGGTGGTATGTAGAAAAATAGTTACAATCAGCGGCAAGATTCGTGTCCAGTGACATTTATCACTCTTTAAACTCCTCTAAATCTTATATGGGCCGCCCCGCTAAATAACTTTAATTTAAGGAGGATGGGGAAGAGTGGTGTATGGACCCTTCTGTGGTTTGAAAATATATAAGACAGCACAAAGGTCATACTGTGAAAAATCACCGATATTTACATCTCATTCATTCATTTAACATGAAGGGCCATAAAGTCCTCAGTGTCGCTTCAGCGCTTTCATTCTTTACCGTCGGCCTTTGTGCCAGTAATTCCACCACAACTACATCTACTTCCTCATCAGGCCTCCTGGCAGATGGCAACGTCAACTTGGGGGCTGCATCTGATGCCTACGAGAAAGCTGTTACTTTCATATCTTCTTTGACCAACGCCCAAAAGATCGCCATTATCACCGGCCAGTCCATCAACGATGACAACGCAACATGGACTCCCCTGGTTACAAAGAATGGCGCTGTTGGTATTAACATGAACTTCTTTGTTTCAGGCTTCAGCACGCCTCAGGCTTTAACCATGACCTGGAATCGTACACTGTTTCTTGAAAACTTTTCTGCCCTGGGAAAAGAGTTCTACGCCGTAGGTGCAAGTTTGATAGATGGACCCGTCTCTAGCCCAATGGGACGTGTGGCTTACGGAGGCCGTAACGGCGAAGGATTCGCTCCTGATCCATACTTGAACGGTATCGCCATGGGACAAGCTATTGCTGGGATAAACAGTGGTGGTGTTATCACAGCTGGTAGACACTTCCTCTTCAATGAGCAGGAGACGAACCGAACTACTACCGACAGATATTCGAGTAACGTAGATGATAAGACAACTCGCGAAGTCTACCTCTGGCCTTTTGCCGACGCTGTGAAGTCTGGCAGTAAGTTAAATCCGTTGTAAATGAATGACCAAAATTAATATATTAATCTCAGTGATGGCTGCTATGTGTGCCATGAACAAGGTCAACAGCACCCTTTCTTGCGAGAACTCCGAACTTCTCAACAACTACTTGAAGACCGCCGTTGGCTTCCCAGGTATGGTCATTCCTGACCAGGGTGCTCAGGCTACCTCTTTTGGTTCCGCTAATGGTGGTCTCGACTATGGATCATCCTCGCTATGGACTGAGGAAATTCTCGAAGCTGGTATCGCCAATGGAAGCTTTACGCAAGAGAGGCTAGACGATATGGCTGTTCGCAATGTCATTGGATACTACTTCGCTGGCCTCGACGATGGTCTTCTACCTTCAGAGGTGAGTTACACTGACTATCGTGATGTCCGTGAAGATCACGCCGATATCATACGACAGGTTGGCGGTGAGGCACTTGTCCTTGTCAAGAACACACAAGATGGTACGGGTCGAGGTCTGCCTTTGAGTAAGCCTCGCACCATCTCTCTTTTTGGAGCTCATGCTGGTCCTGCTATGGCTGGTCCCAACCGAGCCTTCAGCGTTCAAGGAACGCCTGCCGATACCTACCAAGGTCATCTCGGCGGTCCTGGTGGCTCTGGTCAGCCATCGCTCTCCTATCTCGTCACTCCCTTCCAGGCCATCAGCGCCCGTGCAATCGCCGATCGATCGATGATCTGGTGGGTCCTCAATAAGTAAGTTCGATGTGCTACTCTCTTATCGCCTCTAGCATTACTGACTTATTTGTGATATAGCACATACACAGACTCTTCTAGCTCGTCTAGTGGCATGGGCGGTGGCATGAGTGGTGGTATGCCGACTACGAATGCCAACAGCACCAGTATAACAGCTCCGGCCGGCACTTCCGGAAACAGTAGCTCCAGCTCCGATTCCGGTTCCACAAACTCTATCAATCTTGGTAACTTGGGCTCAGGCACAGCATTATCCCCTTCAATCTCGAACTATGCTTTGAACTCTGCTGCCTGCCTCGTTTTTATCAATGCCGACGCTGGAGAAGGTGCTGACCGTGGTGAGCTCTCTAATGACGAGCAGGATACTATGGTCACTACCGTTGCCAACAACTGTAACAACACTATTGTGGTTGTCAACACTGTTGGTCCACGCATCTTAGATGCTTGGATCGAGCACGAGAACGTCACTGCCGTTCTTTACAGTGGTCTTTTGGGCCAGGAGTCTGGAAACGCTATTGCCGATGTCCTGTACGGTGATGTAAACCCCAGTGCCAAGCTTGGATACACTCTTCCCAAGAATGCCAGCGATTACCCCTCAGAGTTCAATATTTGCGAAGAAGATCAATGCAACTACACTGAGGGAGTATATCTCGACTACCGCTACTTTGACGATAAGAACATCACCGTGCGCTACCCATTCGGATTCGGTCTCTCCTACACCAACTTCACTTACAGCACCGAGGTTACTGCTACCATTACCAATCAAACTGCCCTCACATACAAGTACGCTTCAGGACAGATTGGTCTTGGTGGTGAAGCCGATCTTTGGGATGATGTCCTTAACGTTACTACCAGCGTCTCAAACAGTGGTGCTGTAGCCGGTGCTGAAGTTGCTCAACTCTATATTAGCTTCCCTGATGAGGCTGAACAGCCAATTCGCATCCTTCGTGGTTTTGAGAAGGTCAATATTGCCCCTGGAGAGTCGGCAGATATTTCTTTCAGCCTCCGCCGACGTGATCTTAGTTACTGGGATACTGTAGCTCAGGCCTGGGCCGTCGCTTCCGGCGACTACACTATCTCTGTTGGTGCCAGCTCGAGAGACTTGAAGGCTAGCACTACATTGACCCTCACGACTGACTCCACTAGTACCAAGTGATGTACTTGATGCATATGACAATATAGCTCCTGTACCCCATTAGATTCTTTCTTATTTGTATATATACTTAGAATACATAGATAGCGAGCAGTAAATTATAGATATTATATTAGGTTTCATCTCAATAGTATATGATCATTTCTTTTATCTATTCAAATCGATTGTTACCTTTTAAACAACTTTTATTTGTGTTCTAAGCAAGGAACATTTACGTTATAAAGAACATTTTTTTGCGTTTTAAACAATAATTATTTGTCTTTTAAACATTATGAAATCAATACTTGTTTTAAACAACTTTTATTTGTGTTTTAAACAATAATTATTTACGTTTATTTGCGTTTTAAACACGAAATATATACATCTTTTAAACATATTTTTCCCGAAGAAAATGATTTTGAATTCAATTTAAATCGTTTTGATTTCAATCAGAATCGTTTTGACTCTAATTAAAATCATTTTGACTTCAATCAAAGTCGTTTTGATTTCAAATTAAAAGAATCAAAATCGTTTTGACTTCAATCAAAATCATTTTGATTCTAGAAGTATATAGAATATGATTCAATTCAGGATAGACGTTCAACAAACAAGTATTGCCTTCAGTTAGCTAACTAATAGATATGAATTGATGTTGTGACTCGAATTGACATTCAATCCCAAGCCCTATTGTACAAAGTGCGCACACAACGTCTCCTACTGTAGAATGAGGTGAAACGCAACACAACAATACATGTTTCAATACTATGAGCTCTAAACTCTATATATTTTATGCATATATACCTTACGAAGTCTGCTTAGTTTCAAGCCAAAGGTCGAACATATGAATCACTATCATAACAATGTCACAATGTCATAGTATCAAATCATGAAAGCTTCGGAGTAATTTTGAAAACATATATATTTCTAATAATCCTCCTGAACACCTATCATTCTCAACCATAATAGTAACTGCAAATAGAGTATACAATCCTTCAATGAGGTGAACTTACTTGTTCTTGGGCCCTCCAATGAGGTAACCCTAATTGTTCATCATGCCTCAAATGAGGTGAGCCAATACACCATCTTCCATCAAGCATTCCAAACCTCAAAAGAGGTGATCCAAAATTATCATCTTTATCTTCACCACTGCCTCCTCCTCTACCACCTCCGCCCCCCATTAATGATCAAATGATCTATGGGCATGCTAACTCAACTACCTCCTCCTCCTTCTCAAATTAGGAGTGATAACGGGATGATCTCTTCTGCCTTCTATATCTCTTAAATTTGTGTTGCTGCTCATCATTATCACGTCCCTTATCTGTAAAGTTCATAGGGGCTGAGGATGTCAAGAGTCTTCTAGTTGGGGGTACTGGCGGAGCCATATATGAGCGACCGACATGTATTTTCCTATGATTTCTCGTTGGACTCAAAAGGCGTGCCCCACTAGAGCGTAGATCCGTGGGTGGTTGTTCAGGAAATCCTTCAGACTCGGCTAAATAGCTTTGATATTGGGGGGTATCAGAAATAGTCACCGTTTGAGGGTGGCTTTGTACCGATGGGTCGATACTACTGGTGCCTGGATCAATTGCCGTTGATGCGGCTTCTTCAGTGATAGTCGAAATGTTTCCATAAATCTGCTGGGTACTGATTTGTGCCGGTGGAGTGGCTTGCCTAGTAGCAGCTCTATAGTCTTCATACATCATTTTTGAAACAGCTGGATTATCCCTGCATAAGGTCATCCATTGTAGTGTCTTTACCTCATAATAGCTAGCAACAGTCTGATGTTGCTGTGGTGCTGAGGTCGACTGGTTGACTAATGAAGTCTCTGGCTGCGGTGCGACTCGTGGAACTATAATATCTTGTGATTGTTCTGAAATTGTCTGTAGAATAAACTCTTCTGGGAAGACCACCTGAGCTTCCCTCTTGCCCCCTGTCAAAAGTGTCAGTAAATATTTTAATGAAACAGCGGAAGACTAAACACAGAAGTAGTGGCAAAGACTATTGGCTATTACAAGCTCTAGTTTATCTGGGGTTGCTCCAGGGTGCTTTTCCGGGATCTTTTCCTGTATTTGCTCCTGGGATTCTTGGAAGTCGACTTCTAAAATTGTGTCGTACTGGTCTCCATCTCTTAATGCTTTCTCTTTGATTTTCTGTATGAGTCTTACCACGTTTATCATTTTGACGGTGTTTTATCGAAACTCTGGTTTATTATTAATAAGGTTGCAAGGTGACAACAGATTCTTGCATCGATGTAAGTTTGTGGTAGACGATTATCTCTGAGGCTCCAATATGAGAAGGTGACTGGAATTAGTCCGTGCATATGATACCAAAGATACGCAGACTCAAACGCGCTGTTGGGTCACTTTTAAACTGAAGCAGTAAATGGTAACTTTTTTGTAAGTTTCTTGAGGATTGGGAAACTCTTGAAGACGTGGAAATGGTTTTATTTTGTTAAAGTATGGTTTTTGGCTTTAATTTGGGGGAAAAAGGTGGTATTTGAACAATAAATGAGCATTCTTCATGCAGTCAGATATGTGTACATTAAGCAAGCCATATTGGATTTCCATCACAAACATTCAGTTTCAAAAATTTGAAGGCGGCAAGGACATAGCGCGGTAAGGACTTCTTTCTCCAAAGGTAAACAGATCTTGAGATGATGTTTTGAAAATCTCTTTCCATCTATCAAGCAACAACATTCAACCAACGAAAGCTATACAACCATGGTTAATCCCAAGATAGCACGAGCGAGACTTCGAGAGAAAGCAATACAAGAAGGTGATGGCTTCGGCTATCCAGTTTCATCGAAAGAATTTGATGAAGCCTACGAGATTTACCTGAGAAAAGTCATTCGAGACTACCCCGGCGATAGCGAACATGAGCGAGACCTTAGAGCAGTGAGATCCGTCGGCATATATTTATGTATGTCATATCTTTACCTTTCACACTGCCTGATGATTTATTAATAATTGTGATAGGGCGCAAAAAGACATTGGAGCAGCTATTACCAGATCTGTTTTCAGAAGGGTTATCACCCATAGCAGAAGAGACTCCAGCATCAACCTCAACAGATGCAGCAAGACTTGAAGAAGCAGAGAAAGCACCGATTATATCGACACCAGCCCAGCATTCACCAGCCACACAAGCTACAACCATGATTGCTGGTATACCATTGGCAGATTGGTTGCATCTTAAGGCAGCAGATCCAGAGACTGCCCAGGATCTGATGAAGTCGTGGAAGATTGAGCAGGCCGAGAAGAAGGCAAAAGATTTGGAATTGGAACAAAGAATGACTGACAAGGAGAAGAATACTTCCGACCGGATTGCGACCGAATCGCACAGTCAAGCCGTGGAGCGTGCCGCAATGACTGAGACAGACGAAAATGAAAAGAAGAATACTCCCAACAGCACAGTCACTGTTATACATGTCGGCCGTGTATGGATGGCCCCAACAGCCGCAAAATATCCAGAGTCTTCCGCAGCTCTAAATTCCTCGAATGACACTGAAGAGAGTGTACAAAACACGACACAGGAAGGAAAGATATTCGGAAACGAAAATACTGAATATAAAGAGCATAGATTTAAGAAGTATAGATCGCAGAAGCAAGCATCCCGCTTTCAACACTGAATGCGATACTGGAGTTCGAGCCGGAACCAGACCGATAACAACATGAAAAACGTTGAACGCAGAAGACCTTCGGAGCTCAAGGTCTAAGATATATAGGAAACGAACAGCAATACGACGCTGAGATGCATATTCATCATCGTAGTATCAGACCACAGACCGAGAGCAACAGCGTCGCTACGAGATGGTCCTCCTACATTACCACAAAGAGTTGGTCCCACAGAATTCTGCCATTGAGATTGGACAAACACTGCCATCTACACCGCAATAAATGGCATTTGACAAGACAAAGCCGGTGAAGACTACATATATACGTCTAGAAGTACCTGCTCAGTACAAGATACAACTATGTACTACACAACTAGAGAGCATATAGAGTTATTTCAATCGGATAACTTCTAAAACTACAGACGATTGTCTGGACCATTTTGAAGAAACAGATGCATGGAGAAAGAACAAGAGATGAATACTGAATGATTTTTTTCTCTTTTACATTATTCCTTTATGGGGATATTGAATGATAACTCATAGGAGACATTCTGCGCGGTCTTTTATGAGACCTAAATCCTCTTATGAGAGATATGAAAATTGTAATAGATAGATGGCAAATGGTTGCCTTTTTGATGTCTAAAATTGCGTCAAGCTGTCCGTGGTGACATTGGGATATATGTGATGATCAATAGACACCCAAGTGGGTACTCAATTGACGTTGAGATACTAATGAGGTAGGTACAATGACCTGGCTATCTCTAGTGGGACTTTGCCTTGCCTCTAGAAATACTTCCTGAAGTCGAATTTCTACTAGGTTTGTTTTTCAGTAACCAGAATTCACGCTTCCCCCTTTCTTTTTGCTCAGACACACTTACAAATAATCTTCAACATCGAACTCCAAACCCGGATAGGAGATGAAAAAATTTGTGCGTTACCATTAGTTGAGGCACAGCATAGTTAATCGAATTCGAGATGATATTCTCCCATCTCTCTCCTTACCCCTCACCCTCACCCCTTCTTCCCACCCCTCCTCCTCCCTTTTCTCACTTTCTCGCTTATCGAGATTTCTCGGGCCATGGCTGTTGTTGCAAAGGTCTGAATGAACGAAATTCCACCACAAGCCACACTCAGAATGTAAATGTTATTTTTATTCCTATGCTAAACTATTCGGATACAATATCATACCTTCATGTCAAACTGTTCCCGAGGTATACCCAATGCTAATGCAGATAAAAACGCCATCTATGCACCAGGAAGCCCTCATACATATGCCCCATGCTAATATTCAAACATCATGATGATTGATCATCAACCCACCATCATATACACACCCCACTATGCCTTACACCATTTATCGCCTTGTCTTTGCAAACTTCTTGTTTGAGAACAAAATCTATAAATATCCTCACCAAACTTGTTTTGCTGCCGCTCTCAAATCATCTACATTCAAGTAATCAACTCCTTCTTTAACAAGAACATCCCAAACATGATTTCTTAACCCAATCGGCCAACTTGGCAAATCCCAATATCTTGCCTTCAATCCCCTTCTATGTGCTCCTCTAAGTTGCCCACGAATGATCTTCATTTGTTTAGGACTTAGCCTTCCTCTCCATATTGCACCCACTGCTTTATTGAAAGAAACAGATGCGTAATATGAGTTCAAGGGATTAAAATCAGTATCCGGTGATACACCAGACATACCTTGTCCATTATTTGGTTTCTTGTGAGGAATCGGCATAGGTTCTCTCACTGGAATCGATACAGTACTCGAGGTTGAAGTTTCAGAAACTGGCTCCTCTGCACTTTCTTCGTCTTCATCTAATTCTTCTCCTGGTGTGCTGTCGTCAAATTTAGACCAACCTTTCATTTCCTCAGTAACATGTTTTGGTTCCCACATTGTATCAAGTGGTGCGTCGAAAAATGCATCGCGATATGTTGAATTTTTGGTAAGGACATCGAATGGTGTATTACCCGTTCCAACAACAGTAATAGGTCGAGTATGTAAAGTTTCATTCTCCATGTAAGAAAGCCATCCACGTTTTCTTAATGGTTCGAGTTGTCGGAGGACCCATTCCCATGTTTCTGCACCATCAGTCTTCAAATCCACTAAAAGTGTTAGGGATTTCCCATCATCGGCATCGAAAACTCCATGATTTGTTCCATTGTAAAAATCAGTAGTTGGATTTTGTCGTTCGAGAATTTCGACAAGAGGGTTAATGTAAAGGGATTGAAATGTTCGATTTCGTTGTAATGATGCAGTATTGTGTCCAACGTATAAATCATTATCGAAAAGCCAAACATCCGCCTCTACTCCTGTACATCCTGCTCTTAATGCATCGAATAATGGTACTCGTCTCCAATAATCATTGTGCGAATGACATGGAATAGGAATTATATCTCGTGTGAAGTCGGTTGGATACCAAGCCAAGTTTTCTGTACCTGTTCCAGATTTCCCCCAGTTTTTTAGAACATCATCAATATCATGACCCCAAAATAATGTTGCGGCCCCGAGTATAAGATTTGTGAGAAGAAGAATTGATCTAGGAGGTATCAGTACTAAATTCCTAAGTATAGAGAATATTTGGAAAACTCACAATATTCCTAGACCACTTATACCCCCAAAGACGAAATAATTGAATATTCCATTCTTTCTCGTTTGCCGTCTGGACGTTTTATGTAAACCCGTCAATAACCCATCCCCAACATCTGAAGCTGTATCTGTGTTGAAATCTTCAAATCCTTCAATTTCATCAAATGATGATTTCCTCCTACTCTTTAAAGTCATCTTGTTCAACCAATATCTCGCTCTACTCGTCTGATTCGAATTCCTCGGTCTTGATATGAATTCATCTCGAAGAGTCGGTGTATCCGAATATTCGAAAGAATCTGCTGGTTTCCTTGATTTTTCCATTGGTGGACTAGAGCGAGTTAAGGAATTAGATGAATGATTTGAAGCCTGGATATCGTCATCAGGAGAATTCCGTATGGAACTATTTAACATTCCCGTCATTTCATCATATATCTCAGTAGCTTCGGTGCCATGACGGGATGATAAGTGGGACATGTTTTTCCCCGTATTGATAGTCTTATCGAACAAAGTTGAGAGTCTTGGCAGGGTCTCTCAGTCCAGTATAAATAGAAATGTTTAAAACAATTCCAATTCGTATCGAAGATTCCCCTTTGATACTTGACTTGAATACGAAAACAGTGGTAGTTTGAGTCTGAATAATTGCTTGGACCAAGTTTCGAAGGACAATTATGAGGTATTAAATACTTGAGACAGTTTTGCTGTTTTGGTGTAGATTCAAAGCGCCCTCCAGACCCCAAGTTCCGTGCGCTTGCTGAAGGGAAATGTCACTGCTGACAGATCAAACAACAGGATGAGGCGATGAAGGAGAGTTCGTATATTGTAGTTGGGGTTGGAGTATTTCCGTATATGTAAAACAGTCAATTGAAATTTGGTCTAGTATGGTTGTTGTAGGTGGTAAGGGTAGGACAAGTAGGATTTTTAGGATGAGGGTTTGGATGAGACTGGAGCTTTCTGATTGGGAAGTTCGTATGTGGCTGTAGAAAATACCTAGCTGCGCGTTATATTGTATGATTCAGGAGAAAGAGAAAGGATCGAGCTGGTCAGGGACAGAGGAAAAGAGTTATGTAGGTAATGAAGAATTTAATACGGGAAAACTAATATGGAAATGTTGGTGGCACTTTTTCTTCAATTGTGACTAGATAGAATCAAATGATTCTAGAAACCCATTTTGTATGGTCACATTGATCCTTTGAACATTTTGCATCTCAACGTACATGTATCCCCGGATATGATTCTGCTTTCGGTCATATGTCCCAGCATTTCCTATGGATCAAGCACACCTTTCGACGCCTTCATCTCATATGCCATTTCAATCTTACCCCATGGAACAAACAAATGGATCTAGACCATCAGGGTCAATTATCGGGGACCATCAAGGACGATCGTGCCGCGTTTGTTGGGCACGTGTTAAAAGCCACCATTAAGAATGCTTCAAGATCTTCCATCAAATACAAAGTTACTTGGGAACGAGACCATCGTTTTGTGATTTTCTCAGGTTTTAGGTTGAAGAGTGGAGGTGGCATGATACTTTTATATGGTAAAATATTCTATAAGTTCATTGAACGAGGTTATGGCAGATATATCATAAAGTTATTGCGGTTTCAATTTATTATTGATTTGTATTTGATTTGACAATGCGATTTCTCTTGATTTATTAGTCGCTGTGATGGGAGATCTCGGTCTAGAATTGTGCAATGGATATCGATGATGCCAAGCTAAGGAGCTCACCGCCCAAGACCTCATGGCAGAAAAACTTAATTTCCATTATCTCTTTGCGCAAATGTAAAATTACTAGAGATTTTCAATGACAACGACGATACTACATTATTTTCAATTACTTAGAAGACATGCCGCATAAACATACACGTAAAGGAGGGGATGACAAATCTACGTATGAGTTCACCAATCAAAATTATTTTTCACATTCAATTACTAACACAGTATTTCAATAGTATTAACCTACCACCCACTACTATCGCAAAACCTTTACCTGTCTCTAAATCCAGCAATGCCAACGGAATCTTTACCAGCGAACTGAATCCCACGCGCAAAAACAAGAAGAGGAAGAGAAACACCAATGCGGACGATGACACACCGAAAGCATTTGCAAGGCTTATGGCCTTTAAATCCGGACAGAAATTACCCAAAGGATTAGATGATGGATTGAGAAAACCAAAAGCCAAAAAGGCGAAGAACAACGACGATGATTCGGAAAAGAAGAATCTGCCAACACCAAAGAAAGAAGTACCAGCCGTGGAAACTCCCAAAATTAGACCCGGAGAAAAGATGTCGGAGTTTTCAGCAAGAGTTGATGCAGCATTGCCAGTCGGAGGATTGATTAACAAAAGTGCTCGAGGCGGTAAAGATCCATTGGGTCTCAAGCAGGGACGTACAAAGACGGAGAAGAAGATGCATCGAATGT